TTATGTATGTTTATTCCAAATGTGTAAGCAGCTTTTACTAATACGCCCTGAACATATTGCTTTTCAGGAACACGCAACTTATATAAATCTGGGTGGGGGAGGGGGTCAAAAGGAATTCTATCCCAGGAGAAATTATATATATTTCTTGGAATCTAAGACCAGGAAATAAAGGGACGGTACTAATACCTACAGCTGATGAAATCACAGCTAACATTTATTTGTTTACTGACCTCACGGTGTTTCTATAACATAAGATTAGGATCCCACACAAATAAGCTGAGTGTCTTCACGTTTAAACATTATAAGATATATAAGATATTTTTCATCAGGCAGGGCATACAATGTTGTATAACAAATATAACACTGCTACAATATGGGAAGCATACGAACATCACATACAAGTCATGTGTTCCATCAAAGAAATATTCAAAGGTAGATAACTCTCAGTGACAAAAATACAGTATATGTTAATATATATACACATACGTAGTTAATAGTTAACAATTGGAGTGGTATACTTAATCAAGGAAGATTTACTATCACAGTACCACATATACATCAAACTGTAGAGTTTTTTTGTGCCCAGTTAATCACACGTGATCATCTTATATCCAGCCCCTTAACTATAACAGCTATCATTCTTCTACATCATCCGCTTTTTCACATATGAATTTACATACAGAGTTATGTTAAGACTTATGTATAATTCAGCAAAGGGATACAGCTTGCGATATCAGACATAAAGTCAAGCTTTTCACAAATACAGGGGCCTGGGACATCAGAAATTATGTCTGGCTCTATACAAACACAGGGGCCTGGGACATCAGAAATTATGTCTGGCTCTATACAAACACAGGGGCCTGGGACATCAGAAATTATGTCTGGCTCTATACAAACACAGGGGCCTGGGACATCAGAAATTATGTCTGGCTCTATACAAACACAGGGGCTTGGGACATCAGAAATTATGTCTGGCTCTATACAAACACAGGGGCCTGGGACATCAGAAATTATGTCTGGCTCTATACAAACACAGGGGCCTGGGACATCAGAAATTATGTCTGGCTCTATACAAACACAGGGGCTTGGGACATCAGAAATAATGTCTGGCTTTACACAAACACACGGCTTGTGATTAATTTATTAATGATGATGGGGCACCACAGACATTTATAAACAGCATCATGTACCATCAGCTTGTAACTAAGGATCTACAAACAACAGAAAACATAAACAATATCAAACTGACCTAATACAAAAATATAACTTTCCATAACATTAAACACAAAAGGTTTATGAAATCAAACTATAAACAAGTAAACACCAGCAGGATATTTTTTCAATTTGGAGTAATAAACAATTAATTAAGCACCAGATTATATAATTGATAAGTTATAGATGTTACAGGTGTATTTGGACCTTCCCTGACATGTTTATATATCAATTTAGATTTTTTTTGGTGGGGTGAGTCATGCCATCAATATTTGATAAAACTGATACCCCTCTAAGGCGTATACAGAACATGATAAATGTCACACACATATCAAGGTAGGTCTGAATACACTAGTAACATGTTTTCAAATCAATGTGGATGAACACAGAAAACATTTATGCATATATACTAACGTAAGGAACAAAAATAACAAACATTTTTATATGACTGAGAAAATCTATGATTGGCCAAGAGGTCTCCAACAGGTTTCACCAAAATGTAGATCTGAAACTGGTGAATGATCACAAACCTAGACTATAAATAGCAACAGGGATTTCCATGAAACAAGGTTAGCATCATACATAGGTAACCATGGCTAAGAATAGTAACACAGAATAAATTCTAACTTATTTTTAGTTATAAACTGTTATCAGTTATAATACAAACAATCTTAAATGCTGTTTCATATAACAAAAAAAGTTAGCACAAGGATTTGTCAACCTTCAAAATGTGTTAATGCCTTTGGCTAATTTCTCCTTTCTCAGGTTAAAAAATTCGCAAAATTCACCTCAACGAATTGCATTATTGTAATACATTAGATCTGTAATCCATGGTTATAATACACACACAACATCATCACTGTATTACTGTAGAATCAGAATACCACCTTTCAGGATATTTTCTTTTGATTGTCAAAAATTACAACATATGTTACTGAACTGGTATATTCACATTGGGGATGCATGACAGGGTTTTTCATTCGCTTTTTGTGCGTGGATTCTGCCCGTTTGTTGTAACATAACAATAAATTAAGACCTATAAATAATGTTTTGAGCAATCAGCATGTAGGATAAATGACAGTGATGATAATTTTTATATTACAGGGACGCAAACTTAACAAGTGAAAAAAAATGAAATATATAATCAATGGAGGCAGCTCAGTATTTTTTTTTAAATCATTAGGTACATTTTTAAGTTGAAATATATTTGTATTCTGTAATAACATTATAAACATGTAGATGATATATCTATTCTGCCAGAAGGAAATTAATTAACCATACTTTACTGTCTACTTTAGCATATATAAGTAAACTATACTACAAAATCATAGATTTTTTGTGAAGCTCAAATTTCGTGGTTTTCTGAAAATATCTATTTTCATGGGTACTTGATTATACTCCTACTACTGTCCGCCTAATTTTATCTGTTGAAACTTATATGCTCAGATTTAAATGTAGAGCACCCAAGAATGCAAGGAAGATAAATCCCTCACAAAAATAACTGTTTTCCTTCAATAAGCCAAACATCCTGGATATGACCTGGGCTTATTGACAGACAACATCACAACAGATAGTTTGATAAGGCATAGCTCATTTGTTTTGCACCAATAAGCTGATGTTTAAATGACATCCTAACACATCAACAAGTTTAATTAACCTGACTGGACCAAGCTAGTTATTTGGCTAATACATTGACGCTCTGACAGTGACATTAAATCTAACAATGGGAAGGCTTATTGAGATGGAAAATTAGGTTAGCCGACAGACACTAGTTTATCGAACGCATGTCATGCATAATATTCTGGTACATGGGAATATATTGCACATTTTGTTTTATCATTTAATTTATAAAACATAACACATTACTTTGCTTGAATTGTAAAATATAACAGAATGACCTAGATTACTCTTGGCTACGTATTAATATCATAATTGAAGTATACACGAAATATACATGTATATATATATAGGTAAAATACAAACAAGGGAAAGAATAATGGCATCAACATCAGTTACATTTCAATTTATAAGTGAGATTCATATATCATGAAAGTAAACACATTCAAAACCAAGGGAGATAATTCATAAGTTTCTAGTAATGAGTGCTGGTTATGGTTGATTTCATGTAAGCAGTTGAAAGTGTTGGACAGGTTGAAATCGCAAAAAAATCACCCGGTACAGATCAGTACCGAGGTTTGACTGCGAAATATGCGAAATATACACATAGAGATTGAGGGATCAAGCCATACTTGCTGAATATCAGCATTAAGTAGGGGCAGTGCAAGTATATAACTCAAGCAGCATTATTCTTTTAATGTTGAGATAAAGTGGCAGCATTATTCTATTAATGTTGAGATAAAGTGGATGGCATTTTTTTTTGGGACTTCGTTTTATGGTTAACAGGAAATTCTATAACTGCATTTTGAGCTTTATATTTATCAGTTTCAACATCTGGAACATGTATGATGGTGTATCCTGGAATAATTTCAGACTCTATGAATTGTTTAAACCAGGTTACATCAAAACTAATATTAGTACACCATCCAAACAAAGGGAGATAATGCATTAGTTTCTAGTGATGACTACAGATTATGTAATCCATCACAACAAAGGGAGATAATTCATTAGTTTCAAGTTATGAATACAGAATATTTTAAACATCCAACAAAGGCAGATAATTCATTAGTTTCTGGTAATAAATACAGAATATGTCAACTATCCAAACAAAGGGAGATAATTCATTAGTTTCTGGTAATTAATACAGAATATGTCAACTACCCAAACAAAGGGAGATAATTCACCACTTTCTAGTTTTAACAACCAAGTGACAGTAAAGATCATGCAATATCACATGGCAAGAGTAAAACAAAATAAAATGTGATTTCAGGATTACTTTTTAGTAAAGAGGTGATAATTAAAATAAAATATATCAGTGAAAGCAGTTGTACATGAATTTATGTTGATTTAGCAAGTAGCTAACTCAGGATATGTGTAAAACCCACTGTTTTCTAAGCTTTATAGACCATTAAGTGAATGTGTTACAAACAGAATACTTTGATACAGTTATCACAAACTTTATAGTATACTTCTGATAATATCAAGACAAAATAATAACTCATATCCTCATATTATCACCATCCTACAGACATAACCAAACATAATATGTCAGATTACAAAACTCACAAAGAAATATCACATCAAAGTCAACATATAGATATGATTCAATGTTGTTATTTGGTCCCTTTGTCTAATCTGATTCATTAGATCTGTGAACAACAGTCACTCTGATTTAACCTCAGCCTCACGATAAATAAGAAATATTCGGAATAAATCTCTGATGATCCGAGTTCACTCCCTTGACAATCTGTGACAATCTAAAAAATACATTGTTCATGTACATAAAATATTTTCACAAAGAACAAAACTCAGGAAGTCCTGGTATGATACTCATTTTGTTGAACATTACAGGTGTATATTCTACACTAATGGAGAGAAGATCTCTCACAAAAACACTGTCAATCTTGGTTGATTAAAAATATACCCAAATCTGTCACAGATTAGTCTAAATAATTGAAAAATCTCTGTTACATCAGACTTTTTTATTTTCATGTTTAAAGATTGTGATTATTGCTTTTTAAATCTGAATATGGTTTTTATGTTGTACATTTTCCAGAGTAGTGCCACTAACTTTCATAGACCTTGACCTAGGACTCTTGAAATCTTATCTAATCTTATGTATTATCAAAGTTGAACTTGGAAGAAATTAGAATAAAATCCATTAAGATATGTAGGGGTTAGAGTGACAAAGTAGATTGAAATTGGATGCAATGCTACAGGACACAACATAATGGATATGTCAGAACATCTTCTCATCAAATGTTTAGATATAAATTTTGATTGAAAGCAATTTCAGAAATAAGATACATTTATTATTTGTTCATTTCACAACCTCTTGAAAGTAAATCATTTCCATGGAAACCAACTGTCGTTCGATTTGTCTTGTGTCTCAGACAAGTCTGGCATGGAGTTGGACTTTTTACCACTCAGATTCTGGAGTTCAGTATCTGCAATTTTCCTTTGTCTTCTCTCAAATATTTTGGCTCCAGAAAAACCTTAAACAATAGAGAAGAAGATGTGAGGATGTGAACCTAAGTCTGAATATGTGCATTTCATTTAACAGATATAATTTATCATGATAATAAAACGAGAGGCCCACTGGCCTTAATGGTCATCTGACCTATAAACACCTACCTTGATACATATGAAAGAGGCCATATAGGCCTTAATTGCCCAACTACTCTACAACTTACAAAGAAGACATTGCTTGTTCATAAAAAACATTTTCCACAAACTTGAAATCCTATTTCCCATACATACTGCTACATAAATACCATGATGTTGACCCAACTGCTTGTTGAAAAATAAATTTTGAAATCTCAACTCATTGAGAAACTGAAAGTAGGTCAAGGTCAATCATTTAAAGAAGTTTGGTAGCCTTCCATCCAATTACGTTAAAGAACCAATATCAACAGTCTAGACCTTTGTATTATTGAGGAGAAGTCATCTGAAGATTTTAGCTCATTTGACGCCTGTCAGTTTTTAAAGAGACAAGGTAAATCACAAACAAAATAGACAGGTTTTACAGCTGTTATAAACAGGTGGTCTTTAATACAGGTTTTACAGCTGTTATAGACAGGTGGTCTTTAATACAGGTTTTACAGCTGTTATAGACAGGTGGTCTTTAATACAGGTTTTACAGCTGTTATAAACAGGTGGTCTTTAATACAGGTTTTACAGCTGTTATAGACAGGTGGTCTTTAATACAGGTTTTACAGCTGTTATAGACAGGTGGTCTTTAATACAGGTTTTACAGCTGTTATAGACAGGTGGTCTATAATACAGGTTTTACAGCTGTTATAGACAGGTGGTCTTTAATACAGGTTTTACAGCTGTTATAGACAGGTGGTCTTTAATACAGGTTTTACAGCTGTTATAGACAGGTGGTCTATAAGACAGGTTTTACAGCTGTTATAGACAGGTGGTCTTTAATACAGGTTTTACAGCTGTTATAGACAGGTGGTCTATAAGACAGGTTTGACAGCTGTTATAGACAGGTGGTCTTTAATACAGGTTTTACAGCTGTTATAAACAGGTGGTCTATAAGACAGGTTTTACAGCTGTTATAGACAGGTGGTCTATAAGACAGGTTTTACAGCTGTTATAGACAGGTGGTCTATAAGACAGGTTTTACAGCTGTTATAAACAGGTGGTCTATAAGACAGGTTTGACAGCTGTTATAAACAGGTGGTCTATAAGACAGGTTTGACAGCTGTTATAAACAGGTGGTCTATAAGACAGGTTTGACAGCTGTTATAAACAGGTGGTCTATAAGACAGGTTTGACAGCTGTTATAAACAGACAGCTGTTATAGACAGGTGGTCTATACAAAATGTTTTACAGCTGTTATAGACAGGTAGTCTTTAAGACAGGTTTGACAGCTGTTATAGACAGGTGGTCTATAAGACGGTCTATAAGACAGGCTTGACAGCTGTTATAAACAGGTGGTCTATAAGACAGGTTTGACAGCTGTTATAAACAGGTGGTCTATAAGACAGGCTTGACAGCTGTTATAAACAGGTGGTCTATAAGACAGGCTTGACAGCTGTTATAGACAGGTGGTCTATACAAAATGTTTTACAGCTGTTATAGACAGGTGGTCTTTACAAAATGTTGTACAGCTGTTATAAACAGGTAGTCTATACAAAATGTTTTACAGCTGTTATAGACAGGTGGTCTATACAAAATGTTTTACAGCTGTTATAGACAGGTGGTCTTTAAGACAGATTTGACAGCTGTTATAGACAGGTGGTCTATACAAAATGTTTTACAGCTGTTATAAACAGGTAGTCTATAAGACGGGCTTGACAGCTGCTATAAACAGGTAGTCTATTAGACAGATTTGACAGCTGTTATAGACAAGTGGTCTATACAAAATGTTTTACAGCTGTTATAAACAGGTAGTCTATAAGACAGGCTTGACAGCTGTTATAAACAGGTAGTCTATAAGACAGGTTTGACAGCTGTTATAAACAGGTAGTCTATAAGACAGGCTTGACAGCTGTTATAAACAGGTAGTCTATAAGACAGGCTTGACAGCTGTTATAGACAGGTGGTCTATACAAAATGTTTTACAGCTGTTATAAACAGGTAGTCTATAAGACAGGCTTGACAGCTGTTATAAACAGGTGGTCTATACAAAATGTTTTACAGCTGTTATAAACAGGTGGTCTATAAGACAGGCTTGACAGCTGTTATAAACAGGTGGTCTATAAGACAGATTTGACAGCTGTTATAAACAGGTAGTCTATAAGACAGGTTTGACAGCTGTTATAAACAGGTGGTCTATAAGACAGATTTGACAGCTGTTATAAACAGGTAGTCTATAAGACAGGTTTGACAGCTGTTATAAACAGGTGGTCTATAAGACGGGCTTGACAGCTGCTATAAACAGGTAGTCTATAAGACAGATTTGACAGCTGTTATAAACAGGTAGTCTATAAGACAGGTTTGACAGCTGTTATAAACAGGTGGTCTATAAGACGGGCTTGACAGCTGCTATAAACAGGTGGTCTATAAGACAGGTTTGACAGCTGCTATAAACAGGTGGTCTATAAGACAGGTTTGACAGCTGTTATAAACAGGTAGTCTATAAGACAGGTTTGACAGCTGTTATAAACAGGTGGTCTATAAGACGGGCTTGACAGCTGCTATAAACAGGTGGTCTATAAGACAGGTTTGACAGCTGCTATAAACAGGTGGTCTATAAGACAGGTTTGACAGCTGTTATAAACAGGTGGTCTATAAGACAGGCTTGACAGCTGTTATAAACAGGTGGTCTATACAAAATGTTTTACAGCTGTTATAGACAGGTGGTCTTTAATACAGGTTTGACAGCTGTTAAAGACAGGTGGACAGTAAGACAGGTTTTACAGTAGTTATAGATAGGTGTTCTACTGAAGGTTTATGACTGATTTCATAAGTATACATAAGATATTATATACAAGAGTTACCTACCTACAAGTCCCCCAGCAACTCCTGCAAATCCTCCGATTTTGAATCCTGCCATTAATCCTACAGGTCCAGCTACAACACCACCTATCACTGCTCCAGCTATCGGCAAAACAGCACTCTTCAGCTTACTGGCCTGTAAAATCAATAAAATTAAAAACATCCCACCAAAGCAAAACAAAATTACAAACAAATCGTGAAAAAAAATTGTTTTAATGTTGATGTCCCATTTAGTTTTTAACAGGTTTTACTTCCACTATTATGGTCTTTCTACCAAGCAGGTTTATGTACTAAGTATATCCTCTCAGTTCAGCCAAGCAGGTTTCTGTTCTAGGTGAAACCTCTCAGTTCAACCGAGCAGGTTTATGTACTAAGTATATCCTCTCAGTTCAGCCAAGCAGGTTTCTGTTCTAGGTGAAACTTCTCAGTTAAATCAAGCAGGTTTCTGTTCTAAGTATATCTTCTCAGTTCAGCCAAGCAGGTTTCTGTTCTAGGTAATATGATACCACAAGATTGAGTCATCAAAGTTTAATTCATAGAAGTTTGACTGTATCTCTAAACTAAGAACTGAACAAATAAATGTGCACTGAAGCACAATGTAAAAAATACATGTAGAAGTAAAATGTTTGTTGAGTAATCAGCTGAAAAGTTAATTTATCAAAACTTATAATAGATAAGAAGAATGTTATCTTGAATGTGAATTCTTGAAATGATTGCCGACAAAACCTGGACAGAAATTGGTGCAATACTTTCTGCTGATATGCAGACATACTGGTATGAAACATCTACTATGTTTATTATAATGTTTTAAAACTAACAGAGAAAACAAAAATTAGCAAATATGAGAATACATACTGTGTATTTGAGGTTTCTTCAAAATTGGAAAATGTAACATTTCTACAACCATGTGAATATGTAGGAGATGTTTGTGACTATAATTAGATTCTAGATTAATGACATTGCCAAGGATAGTTGTTACAAGGGAACCAATGAGAAAATAGAACATTGTATAAAGTATCAAATCATAAATAAGGCCTCAGTCCTGGTACACCGAATCTCACTCCTATCCATTAGGCCTCTCACCACAATATATATATATATGTTGTGGCAATATTTGTTTGCATAAAAAAAATCTTGGAAGAACAATTATTGGTGAGACTAATAACAGGAGTCGATGATGAAAATCTGGAGATAAGATAATTAATGATATTTTAATAAAGTCAAAATAAGCATTGGATGTCAGACAAGAGGCAGAGCGGCCTTGTAGGTCACCTGAGATCAGCAACATATTGAACATAAAGGTTAAAGGGTAGTTATCAAGTGTCATGAAACAGAAATTGTGACATTGATGATAGTAAGCCAGTGTCAATACATGCATACCATCAAACCTGTCATCCTATACTAACAATTCTTATAAAGTTGTTTCATGTGAGAAATAACAAATGTTATACTAAAAAAACGCATTTTTTTTTTAGAAAAATTACAGTAAAGTCTAAAAACAAAATTCCTACCCAGGAAGAAATGTGAGACCCATTTTGGTAATCATAGCACCCCAAGATACTTCCATTTATACAGAGTATTTGATTCTACCATATATGGGTGTTAAGAAGATTTAAGTCAATTTAACCCTTTTTGGCCCCACCTATCAACCCCTGGGGTCAGTCAGGATCAATATGGGCATACTGTCAAGCTGTCATCCTTCACTCATACATCTAAGTTTGAAACATTTTCAATAGAAATAAAACAAATTATGCTCAAAAATCTAGTTTTCCTATATAAATTATAGTAAACTTTACTCCCTCCCCAAGGGGAAATGTGAGACCCTGTGGCTATGAAATTCACAAATTTTGGTAAAGAACCTTAAGATGCTTCCGTTCATGAAGAGTATTTGATTCTACCATATCTGGGTGTTGAGAACAAGATTGTTTGAAATCTTAGTCAATTTGACCTGTTTGGCCCTGCCCCTCTGGCCCCTGTGGGGGATAGGGACTGTTTAATTCACAACTTTGGTTCATATTAGCCAAGGAAAGAACTCTGCAAAATTTCATTGAAATCAGATCTTGAGTGAATAAGTAAGCTGTTAACAGATGCTCGTTGCTGGATGAAGGTAATCGCAATAGGTCAAAATGAGATTTTGTTTCAAGTGACCTGATAAAAAGTGTTGGATTAATGTACCCAGTAGAATGGACCAGGAGACAACCTACCTTTCCTATCTGTTGTGTTCCTTGTCTGTACCCAGCAGAATGGACCAGGAGACAACCTACCTTTCCTATCTGTTGTGTTCCTTGGTACCCAGCAGAATGGACCAGGAGACAACCTACCTTTCCTATCTGTTGTGTTCCTTGTCTGTACCCAGCAGAATGGACCAGGAGACAACCTACCTTTCCTATCTGTTGTGTTCCTTGTCTGTACCCAGCAGAATGGACCAGGAGACAACCTATATCTGTTGTGTTCCTTGTCTGTACCCAGCAGAATGGCAGAATGGACCAGGAGACAACCTACCTTTCCTATCTGTTGTGTTCCTTGTCTGTACCCAGCAGAATGGACCAGGAGACAACCTACCTTTCCTATCTGTTGTGTTCCTTGTCTATACCCAGCAGAATGGACCAGGAGACAACCTACCTTTCCTATCTGTTGTGTTCCTTGTCTGTACCCAGCAGAATGGACCAGGAGACAACCTACCTTTCCTATCTGTTGTGTTCCTTGTCTGTACCCAGCAGAATGGACCAGGAGACAACCTACCTTTCCTATCTGTTGTGTTCCTTGTCTGTACCCAGCAGAATGGACCAGGAGACAACCTACCTTTCCTATCTGTTGTGTTCCTTGTACCAGGAGACAACCTACCTTTCCTATCTGTTGTGTTCCTTGTCTGTACCCAGCAGAATGGACCAGGAGACAACCTACCTTTCCTATCTGTTGTGTTCCTTGTCTCACATTTTCGTGGGTAGTTTCTATATTGTCCTGTATATTGTCTAGCTTCTCCTGCTGACTCTGAAACAAAATTAAGTTGTGACTTCACAGAAAGCATGATTGTGTCATTTTTTGTATAATATTATCAAGTTGATTGAATTCTGGGGCCAACTCTTGAATGAAGAAAGTATACAGTACGGAATATCTTCTATTTGTACACCATCTCAGCAATATTTGATTTTCAGTTTGTCTGACATCTGTTTTATCGAGTCAATTTTAAAGTTCATGTGCTTTAACAAATGTTGTTGGAAACAAGTTTCTTTATGATAACTTATAATGGTAAAATTTTTCAACCACGTAAATAAATTATCAAAACTTAGAAAAATCTTGTTTACGATTGGGATTCCAAAATAATTAGATTTTGTTTTGATTTGAATAAAGAAATAGCCTGTAAGAGAGATATTTTCATAAATACACACAATCCACTCAAAGCATTCACATGTCATGTTTACATTTGGTTTCCATTTTCCTCTGAGCATAATTACTTGCATGCTGGATGATGTTTCATGAAGAGAAGGAATTGACATAGCCGGATTTCATCATTTCCAGTATAAAAAATGCTGGTAACTTAAGTCCTAATGGCTTCCTTAGTGACACAAGTGATGAAGGATTTATTCAAAACTTCATACATTAAAGGTACGTCAATTGTCATTGGTCGGAAATTTGAATGTTTCTCTGTTATATAAAGATGTTTTATCTTACAGCTGTTTGATCACATGATAAGGATCAGGAAGTACAGACATTCAAAATGGTGTCCAGAAAAGCTTGCATGGAGACTGTGTGTGAGTGGTCAGTGTTGCTAGAAACACTTTCATGTTGCAGGAGGTAAAGCTGTCCAACAGCACTAACAAAGGTCAAATGGTTAGCTACAAATTTATGTAATGCTAGTTACCATGATCATGTAGATCTGAAATATGTAAACAGTAGTGATGTTGTCATATCTGTACCTGTTATCTGTTAACACAAAATGTTTAATGATAAATTACATGTAATATGGTCATGAATCAAGCCCATGATCATCTGTCATGGCTCAGTGGAGATGCAAGGATTTCTGAAATGGATGCCATATTTATTTATATTTATCGATACTATGTAAACTTCCTTCTTCAACAAACATCCCACTCCGCTCTCAAAATACAGTGTAAATATATACAAACATCTCACTCAGCTCTCAAAATACAGTGTAAATATATACAAACATCTCACTCATCTCTCAACATACAGTGTAAATATATACAAACATCCCACTCAGCTCTCAACATACAGTGTAAATATATACAAATATCTCACTTAGCTCTCAAAATACAGTGTAAATATATATAAACATCTCACTCATCTCTCAAAATACAGTGTAAATATATATAAACATCTCACTCAGCTCTCAAAATACAGTGTAAATATATATAAACATCCCACTCAGCTCTCAAAATACAGTGTAAATACATACAAACATCTCACTCATCTCTCAAAATACAGTGTAAATATATACAAACATCTCACTCATCTCTCAAAATACAGTGTAGATATATACAAACATCCCACTCATCTCTCAAAATACAGTGTAAATATATATAAACATCTCACTCAGCTCTCACAATACAGTGTAAATATATATAAACATCTCACTCAGCTCTCAACATACAGTGTAAATACATACAAACATCTCACTCATCTCTCAAAATACAGTGTAAATATATACAAACATCCCACTCAGCTCTCACAATACAGTGTAAATATATATAAACATCTCACTCAGCTCTCACAATACAGTGTAAATATATATAAACATCTCACTCAGCTCTCAACATACAGTGTAAATACATACAAACATCTCACTCATCTCTCAAAATACAGTGTAAATATATACAAACATCCCACTCAGCTCTCAACATACAGTGTAAATACATACAAACATCCCACTCAGCTCTCACAATACAGTGTAAATACATACAAACATCTCACTCATCTCTCAAAATACAGTGTAAATATATATAAACATCTCATTCATCTCTCAAAATACAGTGTAAATATACACAAACATCTCACTCAGCTCTCACAATACAGTGTGAATATATACAAACATCTCACTCAGCTCTCACAATACAGCGTAAATATATACAAACATCCCACTCAGCTCTCACAATACAGTGTAAATATATACAAACATCTCACTCAGCTCTCACAATACAGTGTAAATATATACAAACATCTCACTCAGCTCTCACAATACAGTGTAAATATATACAAACATCCCACTCAGCTCTCACAATACAGTGTAAATATATATAAACATCTCACTCAGCTCTCACAATACAGTGTAAATATATATAAACATCCCACTCAGCTCTCAAAATACAGTGTAAATACATACAAACATCTCACTCATCTCTCAAAATACAGTGTAAATATATACAAACATCTCACTCATCTCTCAAAATACAGTGTAAATACATACAAACATCTCACTCAGCTCTCAACATACAGTGTAAATATATACAAACATCTCACTCATCTCTCACAATACAGTGTAAATACATACAAACATCTCATTCAGCTCTCAAAATACAGTGTAAATATATACAAACATCTCACTCATCTCTCAAAATACAGTGTAAATATATACAAACATCTCACTCATCTCTCAAAATACAGTGTAAATACATACAAACATCTCACTCAGCTCTCAACATACAGTGTAAATATATACAAACATCTCACTCAGCTCTCAAAATACAGTGTAAATATATATAAACATCTCACTCAGCTCTCACAATACAGTGTAAATACATACAAACATCTCATTCAGCTCTCAAAATACAGTGTAAATATATACAAACATCTCACTCATCTCTCAAAATACAGTGTAAATATATATAAACATCTCACTCATCTCTCAAAATACAGTGTAAATATATACAAACATCTCACTCAGCTCTCAAAATACAGTGTAAATATATACAAACATCTCACTCATCTCTCAAAATACAGTGTAAATATATACAAACATCTCACTCAGCTCTCAAAATACAGTGTAAATATATATAAACATCTCACTCAGCTCTCACAATACAGTGTAAATACATACAAACATCTCATTCAGCTCTCAAAATACAGTGTAAATATATACAAACATCTCACTCATCTCTCAAAATACAGTGTAAATATATATAAACATATCATCTCTCAAAATACAGTGTAAATATATACAAACATCTCACTCAGCTCTCAAAATACAGTGTAAATATATACAAACATCTCACTCATCTCTCAAAATACAGTGTAAATATATACAAACATCCCACTCAGCTCTCAAAATACAGTGTAAATATATACAAACATCCCACTCAGCTCTCAAAATACAGTGTAAATATATACAAATATCTCACTCAGCTCTCACAATACAGTGTAAATATATACAAACATCTCACTCATCTCTCAAAATGCAGTGTAAATATATATAAACATCTCACTCAACTCTCAAAATACAGTGTAAATATATACAAACATCCCACTCAGCTCTCAACATACAGTGTAAATACATACAAAACATAAAGTAGGTAATATATTGTCAATGCCAAATTCAAATATTGTGTAATGAAGCATTGCTTGCACTACTACATAAACAAACATGAGAAACTAACATGTAACCCAGCCAAAAGTTCAGGAGGCAACATGAAATCTCTAACACAAAGCTGGAGTTCAGCCTATTACAATAAGCCCAGTGCAATCAACACATAATCTCTAACACAAAGTAAGAGTTGGGCCTATTACAATAATCCCAGTGCAATCAACACATAATCTCTAACACAAAGTAGGAGTTGGGTCTATTACAATAAGCCCAGTGCCATCAGCACATAATCTCTAACACAAAGTAAGGATTGGGTTTATTGCAAGATACTAAGCAAAGGGGAATCAACATTTATTTTCGAACATAAAATAAAATTTGGGCTTATTACAAGACAATGATCCCGTGGGGTCTATTACAGGGGGGTCATGATGTAGTCTCTAACATAAATTAGGAGATGGAATTATTACAGGATGATACGCTCCAGGAACTTACCAAAGTAAGATGGTAGGATTAACACAGGATGATACGCTCCAGGGACTTACCAAAGTAAGATGGTAGGATTAACACAGGATGATACGCTCCAGGGACTTACCAAAGTAAGATGGTAGGATTATTACAGGATGATACGCTCCAGGGACTTACCAAAGTAAGATGGTAGGATTATTACAGGATGATACGCTCCAGGGACTTACCAAAGTAAGATGGTAGGATTATTACAGGATGATACGCTCCAGGGACTTACCAAAGTAAGATGGTAGGATTATTACAGGATGATACGCTCCAGGGACTTACCAAAGTAAGATGGTAGGATTATTACAGGATGATACGCTCCAGGGACTTACCAAAGTAAGATGGTAGGATTATTACAGGATGATACGCTCCAGGGACTTACCAAAGTAAGATGGTAGGATTAACACAGGATGATACGCTCCAGGGACTTACCAAAGTAAGATAGTAGGATTAACACAGGATGATACGCTCCAGGGACTTACCAAAGTAAGATGGTAGGATTATTACAGGATGATACGCTCCAGGGACTTACCAAAGTAAGATGGTAGGATTAACACAGGATGATACGCTCCAGGGACTTACCAAAGTAAGATGGTAGGATTAACACAGGATGATACGCTCCAGGGACTTACCAAAGTAAGATGGTAGGATTAACACAGGATGATACGCTCCAGGGACTTACCAAAGTAAGATGGTAGGATTAACACAGGATGATACGCTCCAGGGACTTACAGTAAGATGGTAGGATTAACACAGGATGATACGCTCCAGGGACTTACCAAAGTAAGATAGTAGGATTAACACAGGATGATACGCTCCAGGGACTTACCAAAGTAAGATGGTAGGATTAACACAGGATGATACGCTCCAGGGACTTACCAAAGTAAGATGGTAGGATTATTACAGGATGATACGCTCCAGGGACTTACCAAAGTAAGATGGTAGGATTATTACAGGATGATACGCTCCAGGGACTTACCAAAGTAAGATGGTAGGATTACACAGAAGTAAGATGGTAGGGATTAACACAGGATGATACGCTCCAGGGACTTACCAAAGTAAGATGGTAGGATTAACACAGGATGATACGCTCCAGGGACTTACCAAAGTAAGATGGTAGGATTAACACAGGATGATACGCTCCAGGGAGTAAGATGGTAGGATTAACACAGGATGATACGCTCCAGGGACTTACCAAAGTAAGATGGTAGGATTAACTTACAGGATGATACGCTCCAGGGACTTACCAAAGTAAGATGGTAGGATTAACACAGGATGATACGCTCCAGGGACTTACCAAAGTAAGATGGTAGGATTAACACAGGATGATACGCTCCAGGGACTTACCAAAGTAAGATGGTAGGATTAACACAGGATGATACGCTCCAGGGACTTACCAAAGTAAGATGGTAGGATTAACACAGGATGATACGCTCCAGGGACTTACCAAAGTAAGATGGTAGGATTAACACAGGATGATACGCTCCAGGGACTTACCAAAGTAAGATGGTAGGATTATCACAGGATGATACGCTCCAGGGACTTACCAAAGTAAGATGGTAGGATTAACACAGGATGATACGCTCCAGGGACTTACCAAAGTAAGATGGTAGGATTAACACAGGATGATACGCTCCAGGGACTTACCAAAGTAAGATGGTAGGATTAACACAGGATGATACGCTCCAGGGACTTACCAAAGTAAGATGGTAGGATTATTACAGGATGATACGCTCCAGGGACTTACCAAAGTAAGATGGTAGGACTTACGCTCCAGGGACTTACCAAAGTAAGATGGTAGGATTAACACAGGATGATACGCTCCAGGGACTTACCAAAGTAAGATGGTAGGATTAACACAGGATGATACGCTCCAGGGACTTACCAAAGTAAGATGGTAGGATTAACACAGGATGATACGCTCCAGGGACTTACCAAAGTAAGATGGTAGGATTATTACAGGATGATACGCTCCAGGGACTTACCAAAGTAAGATGGTAGGATTAAAGTAAGATGGTAGGATTATTACAGGATGATACGCTCCAGGGACTTACCAAAGTAAGATGGTAGGATTATTACAGGATGATACGCTCCAGGGACTTACCAAAGTAAGATGGTAGGATTATTACAGGATGATACGCTCCAGGGACTTACCAAAGTAAGATGGTAGGATTAACACAGGATGATACGCTCCAGGGACTTACCAAAGTAAGATGGTAGGATTATTACAGGATGATACGCTCCAGGGACTTACCAAAGTAAGATGGTAGGTACAGGATGATACGCTCCAGGGACTTACCAAAGTAAGATGGTAGGATTATTACAGGATGATACGCTCCAGGGACTTACCAAAGTAAGATGGTAGGATTATTACAGGATGATACGCTCACAGATGATACGCTCCAGGGACTTACCAAAGTAAGATGGTAGGATTATTACAGGATGATACGCTCCAGGGACTTACCAAAGTAAGATGGTAGGATTATTACAGGATGATACGCTCCAGGGACTTACCAAAGTAAGATGGTAGGATTATTACAGGATGATACGCTCCAGGGACTTACCAAAGTAAGATGGTAGGATTAACACAGGATGATACGCTCCAGGGACTTACCAAAGTAAGATGGTAGGATTATTACAGGATGATACGCTCCAGGGACTTACCAAAGTAAGATGGTAGGATTAACACAGGATGATACGCTCCAGGGACTTACCAAAGTAAGATGGTAGGATTATTACAGGATGATACGCTCCAGGGACTTACCAAAGTAAGATGGTAGGATTATTACAGGATGATACGCTCCAGGGACTTACCAAAGTAAGATGGTAGGATTATTACAGGATGAAGAGGGACTTAGTAAGATGGTAGGATTATTACAGGATGATACGCTCCAGGGACTTACCAAAGTAAGATGGTAGGATTATTACAGGATGATACGCTCCAGGGACAGGATAACACAGGATGATACGCTCCAGGGACTTACCAAAGTAAGATGGTAGGATTATTACAGGATGATACGCTCCAGGGACTTACCAAAGTAAGATGGTAGGATTATTACAGGATGATACGCTCCAGGGACTTACCAAAGTAAGATGGTAGGATTATTACAGGATGATACGCTCCAGGGACTTACCAAAGTAAGATGGTAGGATTAACACAGGATGATACGCTCCAGGGACTTACCAAAGTAAGATGGTAGGATTATTACAGGATGATACGCTCCAGGGACTTACCAAAGTAAGATGGTAGGATTAACACAGGATGATACGCTCCAGGGACTTACCAAAGTAAGATGGTAGGATTAACACAGGATGATACGCTCCAGGGACTTACCAAAGTAAGATGGTAGGATTATTACAGGATGATACGCTCCAGGGACTTACCAAAGTAAGATGGGATTATTACAGGATGATACGCTCAAGGGACTTACCAAAGTAAGATGGTAGGATTATTACAGGATGATACGCTCCAGGGACTTACCAAAGTAAGATGGTAGGATTAACACAGGATGATAAAGAGAAACATAGTCAAGAACTTACCTGTACTACTGTTGCAAACTCATGTATCATGGAATTCAAGTCTACCAGACTCTGCAGGTAAGAATGACAACAGTAAATGAAAATGGCAATCAATCAATATATAGCTTTCAAGTTAAACAATCAACATAGGCTTTATAGAGCTTTTATTACTACATCGCTATGGGAACAAATGTTTTGGCTGGTGGAGGAATCTGAAGGAGGAAAACTGGCTTATCATCGGGGAACTGATCCGTCATCCTCCACCACCATTGTGTCTCGAATCTATGTTCCCAGGGAAAGTGGTTTGAAGCTCATGTTTGATTGCGCATGTTGGCGATCTTGGCTAACGTAATATACCTACATTATAGATAACGGGTGGGTTCAGTACATGTACCCTCCTGCTGCACTGTGTTCATGCTATTGTTGGTAATAACTTCTGATCTTACAATGATTTTATTCAGCTATATCAATTAATACCTAGACACAACTTCCTGCATGTTAAGCATTTCTAATTTTAAAATCTTGATCCTTGATGTGCTCTGATTTTCAAGTTTTCTAGTTTTTAACTGACAACAAATTTTGAATTAGACCTTGGGGTGGTGAAATGCAGCCATTGTGCTACATCAATTGAAATTCTGATACAAGCTCCCATAACTCATCCCTGGAATGTTGACAGTAGTCAAGTTAATGAGATGCTCAGTTGCTGCTATATAAATCAAGCACACATACGGTCCTGGTGGAATATTGCAATCAATTTGCTTCAGACTGAGCAAATTATGTATATATTACAGGCTATAGACATGGCTAAAGTAAATGAAATGTACAGTTCAAAATGTCATCAATTTAAGGTGAATCCTTAATTGGATATCTATGATTATTTACAAATGTTTGACAGTGGTTCACTGGACCACCCCCACTACACCGTCAGGTAGACCAGAAATATTATAGGTAAACATTCCAGCAGACAAGCTTTATATCAAACACCACATATAAAATACTCTAAAATGCCTTGATGTTAAGATCACTTTTCTGTTCACAGACCTCGTGCAGGTTGTCCCAAGACTCCTGGGCAGCTGAGTCCTTTGGGGGCGAGTTGAGCTGGACTTGTGATTTGCCTAAATCAATAGGTAGACTCTGTGGTACTAGAGTATATTCCTTCTGAGGCGTTACTGGGGCTGAGGAACTTGGTGAACTGAGTAGAAACTGGGCTTCCCCGGAGTCAGTGAACCCTGTAGATATAACAAATATTTTATATATACCATTATTCTCCAGCAATCAGCTCAGATCTGTTAATAAGCCCATTCATTGCCTTTACTCTACAAAATTTTTTTGACAAATTTTACTTCTTTGTCTTGTAATAAGTCGACCTCCTGACATTTGATAAAGAGGCAATTCCTTGGCTCTATGAGCTCAGTACAACATCCATGCAGTGATAACCTATTGAAACTAAAATTCAATAAAATCTGGACTCTCCTGAAGTTGAATTAACTGTATACCTTCTAAAACTCATCATCGACATAACGTAATACTGATCTGAAATTCAGATTTTGTGAACAACGCAGTGATTTTAAAAGGGACCGCGTTGTATAATATTGGAAATGTTAAAACCACCACAGTATTACCTGTTTCATCCTCATTGTTTTGAAGGGTAGCCTTCCCCTGACCAAGATCTAAAAATTCCATAATAGAGGCAATGGCTGCTTGTCTCATTTGTGACGTCTTCCCATCAAATGCTTCTATTTCCTCATCCCTAATCTGCTTTCTCATCTTCTCCATTTCCCTAATATTTGCCATGATCTGTTGGACAGTCCTGGAAGCGTTCACTTGTTCCTTATCTAAGTTTGTCCAATCCTCCAGTCTGTTGTACTGGTAAATGAAATTCACATTATCTCATTAAAAACCACTTTCCCAATAAACATATTTTGTAAAAATAAAAATACAAATAAAAAAAAGGGTGGAGGGGTCCAACGTCCCGTGGGTGGTACTAATCGATAGATATGTCAGAGCAGGAATCCTAGGTGGATACAGGAGTATTCTAGCAGACCTCCATAGACGATATGTACTAACAACAAGATGAAGGATGGAGCGTCAACGTTCTAAAGACGGTTGGCCTAGCCAACCGAAAAATGTAAACCAATAAAATCTAAATCCACGGAATCCCAGACGTTGATGGTCCATCCTTCATCTTGTTGTTAGTACATATATTTTGGTTCATTTAACTTCAATTTAGGTAAGATTTGATTTCTTGTTAAATGTATAAAATTCTACATGATGTTGTCTTGGTATCGTAAATGGGACAGGATCATAACAATCATTTTAACTAGCCTGTTATGAAAACAGTTAACCTAAGTGAAAAATTTAAGGCTTTCCTCGGGGCTCTGTGAGACCAAATATAGACTTCATTCCCAATTAGATTGATTTCATAATATGGCCAAACTACAGAAATATATAGTTAATTCCTTAAAATTCCCTTCCCTACTTATATTTTTTTCCAACATGAGATAAAAAGCCCAAATGAGTGGAAAAAGGCTCTAAAAGTATCTATTAATAACAATATTGTTATACAATGTTACATATTACACACAATCTTATCATATCATTGCCTTGTTTAACCATTACATATCTGTCAGACGATATTCATTGTTAATATGAATGCAATCCTGGTGCCAGATACATAACTGATGTCCTGATTATTTATCTGTCGCCCAGATTGCATTCATATTGACAATAAGTTTAGTAGGGTGACAATCGCAACAAGCTTGGAGTAAAATAATATTAATTATCTTTGTATCGTCGACTGGTTTGGCCCCAAAACTGTGGGCTTTATCTGACAATAAATTCAATCTGACCGACGTTTAATGGTTATATTTACATTTTTTATTTAAAACATTATCCTGGTTTTTTTTAAATTTAAAATTGTTTTCCCTGCTGTATTGTTATATACTGGTAAAGTTTTTTGAAAACCATAATCAGCTGAAAGATTAACATAAAGTTATCATCAGTCGTTATTATCTGATGCAACATGCAAAGCATTGAAGAAACGCTGTTCAACATGGTGCCAAAATGACATAATGTTCTTGTACAGAATGCATCTATACCCCAGTGAGTACAATCCAGATTAACAATGACTTAATGGGAGGCCAACTGGTAAAGTGTAACTATCATTCGGTGAATATAACTGTTGAAATTTTATGAATTACACATGACTGATGAAGCATTAAGTTACCTCACTTGAGATAATGAAATGACGTCACACATTCATAGATTGCATTGTGTTGTTTCAAATGAGACCACAGATACAGAGTGGACATGACATTAAGTTTGACGTAGAAATGACCGTTTTCTTTAATATTTGCTAAAAAAATTTATCATGTGACAAAAAGGATCTTAAATATATTTCCATTTTATATGTGCTTTATAAAAATCATCACAATTTTTTTCATTTCAGCTTCCCAAGCTTGCCTTAGATTCGCTAAAATGAGAAATTTGCAAATGAAAGCGCATGTAAGACCTAAATACAAAACAATGAAGAAAACCTAACGAGAAATAAAAGAAATAATCAGTATTTACTATCTTTAAGAACAATCATAAAACTTTTTATATCTGTTTGCCTCAATTACACTTGCTGCCATGGATGAAAGAACACTTGAGGCTTAATGTGGGAAGAGAGGCTGGGAACCATGGTATCTGAGGAAACCCAATGTGGTGAGACCTTTCCAGGCCCTGTCTGATCCAGTTGTCTAGGCCTAAGATGAGCACAACATTGTTGCACTTTCAAACCACTAAACAGTAACTTACCTTCTCAATGTTGAGTCTGTGTTTATGTAGTCTATCTAAATCAATCTCCAACACCTTCAGGAATTTTTGTATGGAAGGTTGTAACCGCCGCAAGGGAAACTTCTGTACATCCCCCGTGGACTCATTCTTACTGGGATTCTCAAACGACATCTTTAATTAGATAAAAATCAATACACAATTTTATATAAGTGTAAAAAGGTTAAAACATTTAATTAAATAATTACTTCTTTTAAGTGATTCAGGATCTCAGCATTATATGTTATCAGATATTTCTTTAATTCTAACGCCCATCTACCATCAGATTCAGGTTTAGGAGTGGCTGTATGAGTTTGTATGTAGTAAGCTCCAGCCTTAACCCCCATCTACCATCACATTCAGGTTTAGGAGTGGCTGTATCAGTTTGTATGTAGTAAGCTCCAGCCTTAACCCCCATCTACCATCAGATTCAGGTTTAGGAGTGGCTGTATCAGTTTGTATGTAGTAAGCTCCAGCCTTAACCCCCATCTACCATCAGATTCAGGTTTAGGAGTGGCTGTATCAGTTTGTATGTAGTAAGCTCCAGCCTTAACCCCCATCTACCATCAGATTCAGGTTTAGGAGTGGCTGTATCAGTTTGTATGTAGTAAGCTCCAGCCTTAACCCCCATCTACCATCAGATTCAGGTTTAGGAGTGGCTGTATCAGTTTGTATGTAGTAAGCTCCAGCCTCAACCCCCATCTACCATCACATTCAGGTTTAGGAGTGGCTGTATCAATTTGTATGTAGTAAGCTCCAGCCTCAACCCCCATCTACCATCACATTCAGGTTTAGGAGTGGCTGTATGAGTTTGTATGTAGTAAGCTCCAGCCTTAACCCCCATCTACCATCAGATTCAGGTTTAGGAGTGGCTGTATCAATTTGTATGTAGTAAGCTCCAGCCTTAACCCCCATCTACCATCAGATTCAGGTTTAGGAGTGGCTGTATGAGTTTGTATGTAGTAAGCTCCAGCCTCAACCCCCATCTACCATCACATTCAGGTTTAGGAGTGGCTGTATGAGTTTGTATGTAGTAAGCTCCAGCCTTAACCCCCATCTACCATCACATTCAGGTTTAGGAGTGGCTGTATCAGTTTGTATGTAGTAAGCTCCAGCCTTAACCCCCATCTACCATCAGATTCAGGTTTAGGAGTGGCTGTATCAGTTTGTATGTAGTAAGCTCCAGCCTTAACCCCCATCTACCATCACATTCAGGTTTAGGAGTGGCTGTATGAGTTTGTATGTAGTAAGCTCCAGCCTTAACCCCCATCTACCATCACATTCAGGTTTAGGAGTGGCTGTATCAGTTTGTATGTAGTAAGCTCCAGCCTTAACCCCCATCTACCATCACATTCAGGTTTAGGAGTGGCTGTATCAGTTTGTATGTAGTAAGCTCCAGCCTATCACACTCAGCTTCCATGTTTCCTTCTTGTGGAAGATACCGTCAGTAATATGTTGATTGTAATGTGCAAAACTGACAATTAAGAAATTATACATTAAGATATTATAATTCATTACATACTTTATGATACAAACTTTATTCACTTTACAACATTTGTGAAACAAGCCATCAACTTATATCAATCACTCTTGTTGTCCTGGATGTAAGCGCGCTAGGGGTCGACGCCGTTCTGGGAATTGAGCCCTGGACAGCTAGGTGGAAGGCAAGTGTACTACCACTATGCCACCCGACCACTCATTACATACTTAAAACAATCACTAAACTGGTTTGTTATCTTCAAAGTAAAAGAGGTAAAAATCCAAATAAAAATGAAATTATTTCAAAAAAAAGATTTCATGAACTTTTTGTATGTTCTAATATGTTCTAAAAGTGTTTGAAGCACCTTTACTTTCAAAGTTCAACCTATCAGCCAATCAAAGAATGCTTAAGGGTTATAACACATGTGGTATAACATGTTTACACAACAGTTGAAATGATTAATTCATTCCTTGTGAGTTGAATAACACTCACCTATTGTGATAGAATACTGAGATTATGATCCAATATGACAGTTTGTTTTTTTATAATGTTTTGCTGTGTAACACTATTACAAAAATTTAACAGACTTCTTAACTGATCTTCCCTCCTTTACAGACATGTTTGCTGATTTATCTTTCTAGGTCTCTTACAGAGTAATATTACACAAGATTATGTTTACCAGAAATTCTTTTCAAACAAATCAAATTACAATGTAACAGGTTTGTACTATTGTTGCCCGACATCCTATCAACAGCCAGGGTCATTTAAGGACATGCCTGATTTGGGTGGAGGAGAAAAGCTGAGGTTCCCAGAGGAAAACCACCAACCTGTAGCCAGTACTGCCCCATGTGGTGACTCAGAGGTGAAGAGCTAGTGATAAAGACAGCCAAATACCTTAACCACTCAGCCACTGTACAACCTAAGTACCCTTAAATCACAACATATAACCTATAAAATGTCATTCAGGGCCATTTTGTGATAGTTTTAAAAATGGTCCAGAGGCATAAGATGATTGAAAATAAACACATGCATTCCTTAAATACAGTGGTAAGAAATGATGAATTAATAAACAAAGTGTAAAATAGGTTGTACGCTCATAAAGCAAAGGAGACAAAAAACTTTGACATACACTGACAAAGTATGAGTCAGGAGAATTCAGAGTGCAAATCAAATATGCAATCATAAGGTTTAAAATGTAGTTATCAGTAATCTGTTATACAGGTGTATATAACTTAGTAGCATGCAAACATTCATTACACTAGGTACATTAAAAGCACTTTAAAACCAAAACATCACAGTTGTAGACTTTAATACCAGTATTTGAAGCATTTTGTACATTGGAGAAAATGCACCAACAAGATTATCACAATAAATCATTATAACATTTCATTAAAAACTCCATGTTATGCATACATATAAAATAATATGTACCTGCCAGTGTGATTCTAGAAAACATTATCAAACATGGAAAAACTAAAACCAAAGTGAAAGTGGAGTGTTGACACAACATCAGTGTTTTGATGTAATAAGTAGAGGAAAAATAAATGATATAATAGAATAAAACCATCAAACATTTGAGTCAGTCTACTTATTTCTGAAACAATTGTCAAACTTTAATACAAAGTCTATTTCAACATTTAGATGTTACTATATAACACATTTATCATTCTTCGTAAACCAAATTGGTGTCATTTCATGTAATGATATTCAAACCTCTATCACACAAACTCATAAAAAACCCATTTCTAAGTCAATATTGAGGTAAAAATATGCAAGAAAAATGGATTCAATTTTTGCTTATTTGATTGGCCTCCAAAGTCACGGATCAAAATGCATTTCTTAGTGGAAAATGTAGACAAAGATTTTGGTCTGTACTGTATTTTGTATAATATGTCAAATCCACTTCTGATGCAATACTTTTACTTGAAGCAATATATTTTCAGAATAAACAAAACACTGCTGAAGTATGCAAACTTTTCAGGAACCAATATTTATTTTGACAGTCATATGAATTCAGATTGCCGTGGTCTTGTTGGAGAGCTTTTCTAATTAGAGGTAGAAAAGTGCCATATCACATATGCATATGCATCACGGGCATCAGTCATTGTGTGGAATGAGAAGTGAAAATGAAATAAGTATTCAAGAACTGGTCAGGTTACAAAACCTTTTGTAACACTGAGAAGTTACTACATCACAACTGTTTTGAAGTTTACAACAAAACTTACACCTGTACCCTTTGTTTTTCCACAACATGACATTACTTGAATTTCTTCAAAGTAAGCCTTAAAATACTGCTGATGTTAAATCATTTCTTCTTCAAATATTTAAAGTTGTATATATCTATATACTACATGTACTTATAGTGAGTGCAGTGAGTGCTTTACGGTACTGTGTGTGGTAATTCAACCCCAACAAGCTGCTCATATGATCAACTTTAAACAGAAGTGTGGCTGGAACTTCATTACCCACAATACACTTACTGCAGCACACAATAAGAACTGTCAATCCATTGAATGGATTAAAAAATATCTTGACAGATAAAATATTGTTTTCAGCTTTCATGTGGAAATGAAATCATACTAAAAGTCTTCAATGACTCTAATGTATTTAGCAAACTTTAATGGTTTGAAATGCATACAACACATATCTCATTAGAAAATTACAATTTTAACAATTCAAGATTTGAGCATGATTGTGCTTCGATGTACCTGATTTCTGGCTCAACCTTCTGGAACTTTCGTAACTTTCCGTGAACGAGAAACACATCGTCTCTTACACGGAAGCAGCCGAAAGGTCCCGATTTGGCATAAAACCTGTCCCGTCTCCTAACTAAATTCAAACTGCAAGATGTGAATGTTCTTTCCATAACTGTTTGAAATCAATTATGATCAAGTATTTGAAATTTTTTAATTGGAAATTTTCCAGCAAACACTTATAAGACACAATGATAAGATAACTAATAGTGGTAAGTTTTTTTTTCAGAAAAAGGAAGTTTGTGTAATATTGGTGACTTTGGTAAGAATTTGATTTAAACACATATTTATATTGATTTTCTGAATTACAATGTATAACAGAATAGTCTCTGCAGTGTACAACTTTACCCTCTTTTTTATACCAGGAAAAGTCAACATTGCTTAAAAAAAAACCTTTTAAAGCATTTTATGATTTGTTAATTAACAGAACAAAAAAACTCTACTAAATAGCAAAGAGAAAAGAAAATGGTGTGTGAGAGCAATCTGATTTTAATAATGAAAACTGGTTAAACATATAACATTGCCTATACGAGTCCTACTAAAACTATATGGTCTTTCACCATATTTTGACTACAAACTCATTTACTTTTTAAAGCAAAGATGATAGATAGTCCTCTCTGCCATCTCTAAAATTCTGAAAGGGAAACACTTGTACATTTATTGTGAAGATTTTTTTTCATCAATTTTTGTAGTCCAGATATGTTGTCAAAGACTTTAATTATACATTTTCTGTTACTATGGAAACAGATAACCCTCATCACAAAGTTCAGTTTTTCTGACCCAATGCTCTGAAACGTTCAAGGTAATTGTTCAAAACATTTTACACTGATTAAACTAGTATTATCTTTTGCTATGGGGCAGTACTCAATTTAAATACTTTTTCTGTTACCATGGAAACATCGACTAAATCACAAAGTTCATTTTTTTCAGGCCAGTCCTCTTGCACCGTTCAAGGTAATTACCTGTTACTCAAAACTTTGTAAAGGCATCAAGGTAGTACTCTAGCAGAAGTTCTCAATTACAATACTTTATATGGAACAATTAAAAGATGACAAATAGAAATTAAGTTTTTTGTAATATTAACACACACACACACACACACACACACACACACACACACACACACACACACACATATATATGATTGTGTGTCTTCCTTTTAAACGACGGAATAATGTCAAACTTTGCGTTATCTTGTCGTCTTTTGTTTTGTTCTTCTTTGACTGTCTTCATGTTGTATGATTGTATGTGCATGACTTATTTACATATGGACACTTTATTATTTCAATCCTGGATGGCTAAGTGAAAGAAAATGTGTTACAACTGTGCCATCAACCAACCACCTGATCATGATGATGCATTGTTTTCTAGAAGAAGAACTTGTGCTCGCGTTTTGTCAATGGATATTTCATATTGATAGCAAAAATGTGTTGCCTACCATTTTCTGGAAGTGATGATATCCATAAACATTCGCTAAATAATCTTCAAATTGTAAAAATTTTCGTTATAGCCAAAAACCAACTGAACATCTAAAATGGGAATTTCCAAAGGCACATTCACTCGTAAAAAGAATGGCGTCGCTATATTCAAATGTACTTTTCATCCCAGTCTCTGTACGCGAAAAATGAACAGGTTAGATATAATATTCGCTTTATCTCAGAATCTGCATACGTCCTTGGCCTTATAAATGTCACTCATGATTATCGAGCAAAAAAAATGCTTGCACCTTGTCACTGCTCAGGCTGGCCGATCTCAAAATGTGATGATCATCATTTGAACGATATTCTAATTGTAGCTATAATTTCGATAATTGAACTGCGACTCATTATGGAAATAGATATACTGAAAATCACACAACAGCTATCAGAAGAGACATCACCTCACCTTTATGACAAGATAACAGTACGGTAGCTGGCACAAACAGAAAGTAGTTTTACCCAACGAAAACAGGAAGTGATGTACTAATAGTCAAGTTCCGGTTCCGGTCTCCGGTCATTGCGGAAACGAAATCCGGATTAGTTAGTGTACATGTAAGAAGTTCTGGACACCTCGCGCCAAATTTTATCTTTGTGAATTTTAAACAGTCTCTGTTTCAGTTTTTATCTGTTGTCATTTGGAGAAGGAAAGAAAGATAGTTTGAAAGAGAGAGAAATAAAGAAAAACCATGTTGAATGTTTTGAAATAACCATATCTTGTATGACCAGTACTATGTTTTATGTAATTATAATTTTGATAGTTATTAATCATATATGTTTGGTGGTCAAACATATCAAGTCCGTGACCAGGTACGTTTTTTAAATTTTAAATTAGAATATTACTTCAAATCTGTTCTTAAGATACCCAGTTTCCATATTTCCAGATATATTGAAATTAAAATCTTCCCTCTTTCCTCTGTGGAGTTAACAGGGTAAACTAGGAGCATGTGCAGCTTATCATGTGTTTGTCTAGTCCTGGTATTCTATATGTTTGAACCTCAAAACAACAGAATTCATTTTGGTATTTATATTGTAACAACAAAAAATTACAGAAATCAATCTTTATTATATTTTTTTGAAATAGGAAAAATAATAATAATAATAATAAAAAAAAAAACAACTTACTGGACCAATTTTTAAGGTTTCAAACATCTGGTGTAGATTGAATCGACTGAGAAATTAACTGTATAAAAAGAATTGCAAAAAGATACCACACCATGATATCATTGCTAAAAAGCAATTAAGAAGCAATCAAATGTCGAACATCAGTCAGGATAGGAATTATCATCAATACCAAAACCAGCTTTGTAGATTAAGGTCCAGATCTTATACATCCAAACATAAGAATTTATGACTGTTGGTCTATATATGTTTGTGTTTTGCAAGGTGTCAAAAACAGACTGGTCTGTGCTGACATGTTTGTTTCTTTGGCCAAGACACTTACTTTTAATTTTTCTCAATGGTATACAACAGGCCTCCCATATGTTGTTCACTGCGGTTGCCTACAGGTAGACCACAGCATAAAATGACCTAGCTGTTCATGTGGAGTTAAATCCAGCAAACAAGTTTGTAAATTTTTTAGGATGAAACCAAACAAAATTTGCGAAAAGTAAAAACCAACATATGTTAAAGTTCAAATATGTTAAAACACTTTTATAACTTCTTCTGATCGTCCAAATATACATGTTTTCAGTTGATATGCGCTGGAGATATGAATTAAGCCCAGCAAAGTTTGCGAAAAGAATAGTTCACATAGGTCACACACATTAAAACACTTGAGCAACTTATGATTAAATGTTGATATTTGACTGGTAGGTTTCTTGGAAGAAGCCGGCCATAGAAATCTGCAAATAATTAAAAATCTACATCCATATTTAAGTAGTGATGGTCAAATAAGTGTTATAAGCTTTCTAGTTTGTATTTCTGGTTGCATTGAACTTTTGTATAATCACATTTTATCAATGATATGATGATCAATGACTAGAACAATTTTTCTTGCATTTTTGCTTTATTGACCTCTGACTCATTTATTCCTGTCAGGATTAATTTTAATGCAGCACTGTTTGTGTGTACATCAGTCATACTAAAACAATGTGCAGTGTACCAAATTCAGGGCCAGCAACCCCTAAAATACAGAGTTATTGCCCTTTGATACTATTTTGTGTCCAGAACATAACTTTGTATACAGTTCCACAACCAGAAGAAGATTAGAGCGTGACATTTCAATGAAATGACCAGTGTGTGGAGCAGACTAGCACTGACGTGTATACAGCTATGAGATGGTAAGGAATCAACCAACTTGTTTGGCTGTACTATAATCCTAAGGTCAAAAATAGTGTGACGAGATGGTAAACAGATTACAGACTAAAACATTACACCAGATAGTAACAATGTAATGGAGTCAATTCATCTACTCTTTGTTTAACACTTGGTCATAGATATGTGAGAGTTTATTTATTACCTCAAGGTAACAGTTTCCACTTGTTTTCAGAAAAATCAACACAAAGACTGTTAAACTTGCATAACATTTTGTTTTATTCAGTGAGTCAGTCATAATGCATATACTACTAATGATTGCTGTGTTGTGACTATACAAGGCTTCATCGCCTCATGACTAAAGATTGCCCCATGACTACAATGTAAAATGTAGGTAAAGTGAAAGTAAATATTTTACTTCCTATGAAACAATGATTTACATTACATGCAAAGTGGAAGCAAGATTCCAGTTATATTAATTCACATCTAGAGTGAACTGACTATGAAGTGAAATCTCACTGGTAACATCGAAATAAATTGTCATCGTAAAATAAAAAATTCAACTCAGATCTTAAGATTGAATGGAAATGCATTTCCTGTCCTTCAGTAACAGGTTAAAGTTTACCTGTGTCAAAATTACCATTTTAGAAACAAATATTCTCATACTCATTAAGAATTCAATATATAGGATTTAAACATATTCTACTAGTGCAGCTATCTATTTCACAAAGACTTGGGTACATGATGTGCATTTGCTGGTCAAACAGAAACTGGAGATAATGAAATTAATATCATATCCAAGCAAACTATGTAATGAGAATTTTAAATATTGAAGTTGAAATATTTTTTCAGAATTGAAATGAATTTTGAAATTCCTTACAAGGTGAAATTTGAAAATTATTCATCAGCTGTGTTGACAAGTGGTTGTTTGTAGTAACAAGAGAAATTTATAAAAATTCTAAAAAGTGAAATATACTTGTATTAACAATGGACATAAAAAAAATCATGCCCAAATGCAGTTACTCTCACCCTCTAGAGATGTACGGTATCAAATAGGCGTATGTTTTCCTTCATTCATGAAACAGATTTGATTTCCTCAGTTAATTATGCACAAACATAAATTTATCAAGTTCTTTTAAGAACTTTAAAAGCTGAAGAGTTTCAAAGATTTAACACTAAATCACTGCATCAAGCCAAAACTATTCAAAATTATATACAATATATGGACTGTGATCACATTTACATAAGGTGCATAAATGGTATATCTTCAATGAAAAGCACAAAATATCAAAATCAAAATTTTCAAGCTGCTCAATTGCAACAAAAGTGACAAGCAAATGATGATTGATAAATATATTTTGTTTTGCCAAAATAAAACATAGATAAAATATACGGACAAATAACACATCAATGGGCATTTTTCAGCATTACAATCACAGGATGCAAATTGGGACAAAGAGGAATATCAGTATTTTGCAGTTTTTGTGTGTAACATAGCTACAATGAAACAATACATACTGTATCATTTTATTTTGCATACTTAAGGATGTCAGAGGCACTTGTGTTCAATTTACACAGTCCTTTCAATAGCGACAGGTTCATATGGTACATCAGTTGAGGATTGTACCCAATATGAGACACCTCATCATAAATGTCTGTTTATAAAGATGAATGTCAACACTTTATATTTTTCTTCATTTTAAAAACGTTTTTATTCAATGGAATAATTTTAAGTCACCTGACCATTCAAAATTCATTTTAATTATCTATTTAAATTTCTGACAAATGACAAAATTTTTGCACAATTCTACTTTTTGTAATTTTTACATGGTTTTTTTTTTTGCCTTTTTAAATGTAGTTTATAAACAAAATATAAGTGGTAGGTGTATGAAATTGGTCCCATTGCTTAGAAGTACACTCTGTTTTACCTTTACAACAGTTAAAATTCACTTGAGAAGTATCCCAATTTGGGTACTGTCACAATTTGCATCCTGTGACGTTAGACTTAACAATGGTGTCGGCACAAAAGTAGTAAAAAGTAAGGATTTCAGAAACAAGGTTAATTAGCTCGAAACCCTCTAACTTGTTCTATGTAATATATTCATTTTCCTTTCAAGTACTTATCATGAAAATACATCTGATGTTGGATGTTGTATTCATATCATAAAACTCATGACTAAGATTGAGGACTTTATTTGCAAATGACTTCAAACAATACTGTAAACAGGTCACATGACAAAAGGTCTCTTCACTGAAATTGTTAATACACTCAAAGATCTCGGTATCTCCACTCAAACATCACGACTTACAGTCAATGGAAAACAAATCTGATCTTTCAGGCAATGAACCTGTTCTAGTGGCTTTATTTCGTATGACTTAATTAACTTCAAAGTAGAATCAACAATATTTAAGTCTATTTTAAAATCACCCCATGGACTTGAGATATTAAATATGATAAAACACAAGGAAAAAAGTTCACCATCAGTTTAAAAACAAAACTAAAAACAAAACAGAAATTGCATCAATATCAAGACGTACAACAAGTCTATCTATACAGAGATGGGATCCTGTTCCGACACCTTATCACTTTACAACAAGTCTATCTACAGAGATACAGACACCCTAGACTTTACAACAAGTGATCCTGTTCTGACACCCTATCACTTTACAACAAGTCTATCTATACAGAGATGGGATCCTGTTCTGACACCCTATCACTTTACAACAAGTCTATCTATACAGAGATGGGATCCTGTTCTGACACCCTATCACTTTACAACAAGTCTATCTATACAGAGATGGGATCCTGTTCTGACACCCTATCACTTTACAGCAAGTCTATCTATACAGAGATGGGATCCTGTTTTGACACCTTATCACTTAACAAGTAATGCTTCTAAACTCAGACATAATTATCAAATTTCATTACGTATTTTCTATCACTTTACAGCAAGTCTATCTTCAAAGATTCCCTTGAATCCATTAACAAGTAATGCTTTTAAAAATATCAAATTTCCTTTTAAAAATTAATCCATGGACATAAAGTTTAAAAATTCAAAGCTAAATTAGAACTTCTGTAGTCCTGTAACATGAAACAAAGGTTTGATTATAAAAACAGGTTTGGCATAAGTGGAAATGATATAAGATAACTTAAGTACCCAGGTACATGTATACATGAACTATCTAAAGGAGTGTTGAAATGTCACTCTCAGCCATGTATTATGACGTCATGGTATGGCCAGCAGAGGTATGCTGCCATGTTGCAGTGACTTATAACTGAAACAGACTGAATTATAGGTACACATATACTTATGTTATATAATGTGGCGGGGCTACCAGTGCAACTAATGTTCGAAATTTTACCCATGAAGATTTGATAAATTTACGTGCAAGAATTCATTTCACTGATCTACCAATAAGTGACATTTAATTTAAAATCTATGTTTTTTTTTTATAAACTAAATGATACAGACTTTATGTGATTGATAAGTTTCAGTTGCATGAAACAAAAATCCATCATGGCAAATGAAATCCTGAATTTCAATTGATCTTTTATCATTAAAGTTTAGAAGCTAATATTTTCAAAGAAAATTCAAAATTAATATAGAAAATACTGAAATAAGTAAGGTCACAGAAAGTCTATAAAACTTACATTAAAAATATGTGAACAACGATACAAAATCAACAAGCCATTGCATTCAAAAAAAATGTCCTGATATTTTGATAATCATTCTAGCATGAACAAGTTTGAAGTCAAGCAAGGAATAAATAACTCGATGGAAACCACAGCAAGACTTCAATAAGCAAACTAAACAAGATATACAAATATACAGGTTCTCTAACTTTATGATTTCTATACATCCAATTGCCAAAAAAATTAATTCATTTTTAATCCTCATAACATCTGAGAAATGGGTCTCACTGTAACGTTTTCAAGTACATATAATACAAATTTTGCATGAAGTTCAATATCACTTTAAACTTGTACTAAATAAGAATGTATCTCTATTGAAATTTAATTCTTATTCTATGAACCTAAATGACTTTTTGTACATTAATTGGTGTACTATAAAACAATATATATATATACCTGACTGTAATTACATAACAATATATAGAAATCAACCACTGCTATATTTCTCAAACAGCATATCAGTAAAATTTAATAATAGTAGCAACATATGAAAGCCCAAGCATATTTATAAATATGGTACAAATTCGGTACTCGTTGAAGCGTTCTCTTTATCTTATCATTCAGACAAGAGCAACATGACTTTTGTTTGAATTCCTAGAAGGATCTTGGCATCTACTATCATATGGTTTCTACTGAACACTGGTACTGTCTATCTGTCCTAACATCAAAACAAGTTGCCTTTTCCTCCAAATCAATCTCAGTCATAAACAAATCTTAAAAGTCAAAACCCAAGATGGCCTCCTGTTAGGCATTTTGTTTTCTTGATCAGTCTTGAAATGAAACAAACACAATTAAGAATCAAGAATTTAAATATCTGATATGGTAAGAGAAATACATGTAGTTATTATAAGATATATAATTTGTCTGACGGATGACCAACAATGAGTGATTGGAATGGTCCATTGTCATAAGATAGTGGGCTAGAAATTTAAATACATACCTTTGAATATATCTCTTCTCCCACGGATATCTACTGGATTCAAAGTGAATATGTCTTTTGTCAAATACTTTCTAATCAACATGACACCTTATATACAGCACAGAACATTGAGATACAGAATTGTCTCCCTTTCATATGACATATTTAAAAGAACAAAACACAATTCAATGATTCAGTAGTCCAGCTTCCCTCACTTAACTATACAATGTAGCAAAATTCTATTAAAAGATGTCTTACTTATTGTTTTACTGAAACAGATATCAGAGGTTGTATGTCCTGGATTAAACACTCTTCAGCATCAATTCAGAAATTAAAATGGGGAAAAAGCACAATTACCATCCTTCTCTACATGTGGTATAAGGGCAATGTTTTAATAAGGAAAAAGCTTTATGACATATTTAATATGGGTTATCTTTAAAACTTAGAAGAAGAATATTTCAAACTTTTTCTTGAATTGAAAATTCATATAGAGATGACAAGGGATCAAATCTAATGCAGTTTCATCATCTTCATTAGTAATACTCGGGTCAGAAATCAGTTTTGTTTGCAAATAAATTACAAATAAAAATCAAAATGAAAGAAAACAATAAACAAAATAAGGTGAATCCAGGAACATATCACATATCTTTTCTATAATAAAGACACAATACCACTGCTCATCTACATATCTATACATTACTTTTGTACAGTAGTAAATTCCCTAAGAATGATCTTCCAACGATGTTTATGTACTATATTGTACTAACCTGACAGTCAATGTTGTTATTACAACACATTTTAGGTTATCTATTTATCTATTTACAAATATGTTCTTCTCCAGTCATTCATAAGAAGAATTATAGACAATTGTTTTGAATGCTACTAATGAGAGCAACTTACCACTAAATAAGCCCTCTATGGATATAATTAGGTCAGTTTTTGTTGATCCTTCTAAAAAAGTGAATTTTACAGTAAAATTTTAACATATTTGTGCATAGTTACCGTAAAAAATACATTCATTACACTCAATATTTTTCCTAGCACTTTCTTTATTTTAATTGGAAGAAAATCTAAAAAAGTGTTTAAAAATATTTACAGTGTATGAAAAATCAACATAGCCTCAGCAATCTTCACGGGTTTATAGGTCAAACTGCCCCACTTTTTATGGGTGGTTTTCTCTAAGACATGTGTGTCACTTCATCTTTATCTATCAGATATAAAAACAAAAATTCTAAACCAAATGTATAAATTTGTTTGGTATTATCCGTGCCATGGAGGTGGCTTGGAGTTTTGCTTTGTTTGTTACAACATGACGCACAAAACAAGAGACTTAGACACAGAATCTATTCTAAGTCCTTGGTAAAACGTTGACTAGGGTTTTCTCCTATTCCAGCCATAAGGTACATATCCTTTATGGTCTGGTAAGTTAGATTCAAAGTAAAATAACAAAACATCAGCATACATACATAAAAACTCCTAAAATCAGCAAAAAAAACCCACAAAAATTTCAGCATTATATACAAAAACAAAATCTGCATTATATTTCTGCCCTGTGTGATTCTGTCACTACCTATCAAATAATTCCTTCATTGCTCTTAGTGTATTATAACAGTCAGTTTTCAGAATTAGAATATTTTCTCAAGGACAAAAATTTGGATGAATAAATTTATTATTCTATTAATAGTGTTCAAAGATGTTAATCATGAGATTGAGAATGACTAGTGCTTTTATTGCTCTGAGTACCTGGTGCAGTGACAATGGTCTGTGGGATTTGATTGACAGAAATAAAAGCAACTTTTATTGGACTATAATGTTCTTAAACATCAGTGATGTCAAAAAATATTTGTAACACCCTACTGTAAGTGATGAAGATAGACAAGTTTACATATCACAGAATAGCACTTGTGTTGGCTTCAAACAGACAGAAGGCAACAAATTCTTCATGCAGTTGTCTCCCTTAGATATCAGCTACTTCGTTGGACTGGCTTATCACAAGTAAAAGCCAGCAGTGTTAAGGAATGTAATGATACAAGTCACGATAACAGAAAAGTATGTACACTTTCTCTTAGAATCACATTAATATTTCTTACAATGAAAGAATATCATTTCAAACTTAAAAAGTCTTTTAAATGTAAAATTTAAACAGTCAAATATGTAAATACTTAAATATCATAATATACATGAGGTGTAGATATCATCTATGAATACAGAAAACACCACACAGATATTTTATTCTCATCTATATACACATAGATCTAATGTGATAATGCCCAAAATCGACCACTTTTCATATTGAATGATAACCATACTTTTATGACTAAGTACTTGCTTACTGGTAACAACCAGTATCTTTACTGTAAATTAACAGTTGTAAACACAATGGTTTAATATCTATCATTTTGCATCTTCCAGACTACTTATCAATTCCATTTGAAAATGCCAAAAATGAAATGAAAACCTTGCATAGTGCTACAGCACAATACCTGTTGTGAAACTGGCAAGTATATAACATGCTTTTATTTTATAATATATAAACTAATTGATGTGACGAGGCACATCTTTTTATTCCTTCATCTGCTCAAAGTCAAATTCTGACTAGGGTAGCAAATTTAGCTGAAATGCTTGATATCTCACTTTAAAGAAAATTGTAAAAACAAAACTAGAGATTTGTTTATTTGAAAACCATAAAATCTTTGATGCTCAGTAAACTAATTCCAAAACTCTGTTATTGATTTTTCAAATAAATGTTCCATTTTGGGAAGTGTCACATTATCTGTTTGTCATCTCCAGAATATATCATCCATATTTATTTCATATGATTTAAGAATATCTAAAAACAGATTAAAATAGCAATTAATATCCACTTAAATTTGTTTTTCTCGTGTCAGATGTACACAAATATTAAAATAGAATGCACACCAAAGCAAAAGCAAACAATATTCAAGCTACGAGTACTAGTTATGTGGATGAGTTCTAAACCAGCTGATTTACTTCATATGTCAGACGGCGAAGTTTGGCAGGTATAATATTGCAGTTACCATAATTCTGGTTCAGTGATATGAAAGTTATTGTCTCCGGTTTTTTATATGTTGTAGTTCAATGTTTCTCAATCATACCAAGAATATGATCATTACACATAGATACAAACAATATGATATAATCATGGCAGAAAAAAATAACATCACAATCAGCTTTTAATTGGCGACGTTAAAAGAAAATCTGACAAAAACAGATTTGAAATGCTGATAATTATATAGATTAAAAATGTAGACTGATAGGATGGTCCTCTACAGCATTAATGAGAAATCTCAACTATGTGGAGGAGAAATTTAACAGCCTCTAACTCTAAATTAGATTAAACGGTCAACGTTATGACATTGTTGATCAGTATATCAACACAGTACCTATGTAGTACAGGATGTTTCTATTAAGTACACTGATATAGTATCAGCAAACAAACCAGGAATATAACTGGATGTTTTTAATATCATATAACAGCACAGAACCATTAGGAAATCAACGTTTCACAACAAGGATGATTCTGTGGATGGTAACCAAGGACAGTTGACCAATCAATGACCTTTGTTCACAAAATTAAACACGTTGTGATAAATATATGCCTCTGAAACCATATGCCTTTGTTAAAATACTAGCTGCTTTTTTCTGCTTGAGAAAATCTTCATGTCAAATAATGGACCCCGATATAAATGTATTTAAGTCTGTGGTCAAAACTAGTAAACCTTAGGTCTCAAGTTCAATTCCAGGTATTCAAATTAAGGACCACTGTTATGTGTAAAATCAATGAAAAATAGGCAAATTATCAAGAAATCTAAACTTCAAAAACAGCATAACGATAATTTGGTAAAAATTATTTCTTATTTCAATTATGGTCCTATTCATATGTTTATTTTCTTACTTCTTCACAGAATATTGACGACTGAAAGAATAAAAATGACAGTAAAACTCCAGTTTAAACTACAGAATTTTTCTTGTTTTTACTTCTGAACAGTATTTAACTGTAGTATTAATTAGTTACAGATATAAAATGCTCCAGAAATTGACTTGTTTTTAGTCTCCAGTAAAATAAACTTAAAACATAGATTTATATCATACATACAGGAGATCATGTCATTATTTAGTCTCCCTTTTTTTCTTAATCATTCAGATGTTTGGAAATGTAAGGCAAAATGATCTGGTCCACATGTATGTTTGACAGGCACATAGGTAAAAGATGGCTCAGGCCTCCCATCATAATGAAAACAGTTTTTTTCTAACATCAATTTAAACAGATAAAAGACACTACAAGCATGATGACATTACTCTGAACATATGACTTTAAAAACCATTTCAAAATCAACTTTCAGAAATGTAGACATTAAAAAAATCCAAAAAAAATTTCACAAATTATAAATAGAATATTTTGTAATATTCATGGAAGATAAGTTTAACTTATTAAAAATCTTAACAAATCCTGAGGATCATATGACACATGAATTAATCTCAAAATTAAATATCAATGTATTCATATTTCACTCTTAAAATAACTTGGAGAAAATCAAATATGAAAGCTGTTTGGTATTCATGAAAAACAAAAAACCATTATAATTTTATTTCATTCACCTACTAAAATAACAGCTGTATTTAAAACTGTCCTTGTCTAGAGGCAACAGGTAGTGTGTTACAGATGTTGGGTCATCATCTCACCATCACCACAGCTGTGGAAAGGTCAGTTTTGAGAAACCCGGATCCTTTCTCATTTCCCAATACTTGCCCAAGTACTCATAATAATCCTTCCCAGAAACAGTGTACTTCCTGTAAAATAGACAGTTAAACCTTGTGTCTGTAACGCCTTACACCAACATGTTAATTCTAATGGAATAGGATTGCTAAACATCTGAATTAATGAGAAAGTATAGATTAACTCAGCTAATTATTCTTTAGGAAAAGTATTGCAATTTCTTTGTATATCATTGAGGACCAAGTGAACTGAAAATTAAAACATTTTCCCTACTTCAATCAGTAACATTAATGTTGGATCTTAATATAAAGAGCCTCTATGCATCAGCAGCCTGACACCACCATCAAAAGAGTGGTTACCAATTAAAAACCTTTAACTAAAACTTTTAACAGATTGACAGACAGATGCAGACAAAAAATGCATAGGTATGTATTTTTTAAAGATGATGATTTGGAAATGAATTATTCAAAGATCATTTTCAAATAATGAACAGATCATGGCTTGATTGATTTTTCTCTGGTTAAACAAATTGTGAAGACACGATACAAGATCTGTACTGGTAGTATTTCCACAGTATTATACAACTAACCTGAACCACTTAGGGAGGGCTTCTGTCTTAGAGCCATTTTGCTTTTTCCTTTTTTCTCGTTGCATTTGCTCGACTCGTGATTTTTCTTTTTCAGCATCTGCTATTTTACCTTCTTCTAGTAACCTGTCAACACAAAACATATCACATGTACTACCAACATACAGTCTTCTGTCAACACAAAATATATCACATGTACTACCAACATACAGTCTTCTGTCAACACAAAATATATCACATGTACTACCAACACACAGTCTTCTGTCAACACAAAATATATCACATGTACTACCAACATACAGTCTTCTGTCAACACAAAATATATCACATGTACTACCAACATACAGTCTTCTGTCAACACAAAATATATCACATGTACTACCAACATACAGTCTTCTGTCAACACAAAATATATCACATGTACTACCAACATACAGTCTTCTGTCAACACAAAATATATCACATGTACTACCAACATACAGTCTTCTGTCAACACAAAATATATCACATGTACTACCAACATACAGTCTTCTGTCAACACAAAATATATCACATGTACTACCAACATACAGTCTTCTGTCAACACAAAATATATCACATGTACTACCAACATACAGTCTTCTGTCAACACAAAATATATCACATGTACTACCAACATACAGAAAAACAGACGCAAAGAACAAGCAACAAGAGAGAATCCACACACAAAAAGAGTAGTTGGGTGCCACAGTGGTAACACACTAGCTTCTGACATAGGGGAAAGGTGTTCAAATTCATGTAGATTTTCCTTGGGTACTCTGATTTCCTTCCACAGTAAAACCCTTTATGCACTTTGATTTCGGCCAAAAGAAGTGATTGACACTTATAGCTTGTTTTGCAAAAGTTACCATTTATACAGGGAAAGCAAAAAAAAACAAAAACCTTCAATATTTCTTTACCACATACAGAAAAAAGTAATACAAAAGAATAACTTGACATAAAAGTGAAATTCATTCTCAAAATAGACTGGTACAGCTGTGACTAGAAATACATTTGATCAGTTAAACAGTATCATCAGGTGTACCTTTGATCCGGGCGGAAACGTGAATCTGTAGGTGGCAGTACCTTCTCCAATTCAGACTCAGGCTCATTAAGTTCAATAGCGAACCTTGTAAAACCGTAATACAGCTCAAAGTCTTCTGGCATCGCACCTATAGGGAAAGCAACATTAAATAAGATGATAAGGAATGAAGATACAATCAGAAATAAATAATGACCAGAAATGGTAATCCGACATTGATTCTATATGTTTATCTTGTTAACAGAGGCACGGTGGTTCACTGATTATTTACAAGACAGATGATTAAAAACTCGGAAGATTTATTCATACTACTGGTACATAAATACACAGCAGAGGGGGAGTGGTTCTCACACTCACCTTGTTCCCAAATTGCGCTTACCTGGTCGCCAAATACACCTGGTAGAGGGTGCATGTCCACAGTACAATGCTTCATTCCACTTGCCAAACAAGTTGTGAATGACTTTGCCATCTGGATTCAGAATTTGTCCATACACCTCATGACGTTTTCCAGACCAATGGTTGGCCTAAAATACAGGAAGTAAAACTCAGTCATCATGAGAATTGATGAAACATCAGACTATGGAAAAACAGGTCATTGTGTAGCTCAGTGATAGACTCAGGACCGACTTGACCTTTGTGAAGGACAGTTCACAGACTAAGGACAGACTGACCTTTGTGGAAATCAGTTTCAGACTAGGGACTTTTGTGTAGACTGAGAAGGACTGATCTTTGTGGAAATCAGTTTTAAGACTAGGGACAAGCTGACTTTTGTATAGACTAAGAAGGACTGACCTTTGTGAAGGTTAATTTGCAGACTATATCTCCATTGCGTATCTGCATTTCTCCATACTGGTCCACCCACCGCTGGCCACCCAGTAGGTTGTGGACACAGGTCGTAACCTTGTTCCATTTGTAATGGTCTTTGTATCTGTTAAGTAAAGATAAAACTACAATGAGGAAACACATGTGACAACAATATAAATTTCTTTCCTTCAGAAGGATTCAAAATAGTAGGAAGAGCACAACAGCTGAGGCCAGGTGTAGTAATACTGTGACTGCCAACATGTTTCAGCCTGCTAGGCAGGCCGTCATCAGGGCACACTTTATTGGTCTGTCTGTTACATGGTGATACAAGATGTATAGTGAATAACAATAGAAGTCATGTGACTTAACAATGGACAATATTGTGACGTCAGAAGGATTGTTTAATCTGTTAACTACGGATATCACATTACAAATAGATCTACAGCTTTACACTTCGCTTTTCCTTACACATCCAACACTGATCAGATAGACATTTTCATTTATTGATTTCACTAATTAGGTCATTGTCATTTAACAACGAAGTACAGATGTCCGTCCTAATTGTATTTTGCTTTCTGATTGGTCTTAATGAAGTTTTATTATGCCTGTATCAATATCTTCCTAGTTTTATTCCTAAAATGCTACCTAAAATTTATTCAAACCTATTTGTGGACTTGAACGAAACCAGCTCTATAACGTTGTTAAACAGTTGGAGAAGAGCTTTAGCCTTTGATTTCAAAATGAATCATCGACTTCGTTTCATTAAGTTTTGGCTATCAACTATTAGCATTGTGAGTCATACTATCCTTGATGAGCAGCAAACAAAACAGACCAAGAGACATAACCACAGAATTTGGGAATAAGACAAAACTGATATGAATACATGAATTAGCAAGGATTCTAAATAAGATAGTGATAATACTTACTTTGGCAGGAAGAGGTTTACAATTCCAAGAGGCTGGATCTCCATTGATTTGCCCCAGAACTTTGTTTTTATTCTTACATCTAGAAATTTGAAACACAAAGACTAATATTTTACAACAAAAACACAAACTTGCATAACTACACATTACAAGTTTGTAAAACATTGAAAAGCAACCCTTTTGTAATCAAGTACAATTGAATCACATTTTTTAAATCTGTGCAAGTACATAATTACAAAGTATGCTGAAGAGTTTTTTCCCAGAAACTTGGACCTGATATATAGTATTGTAATATAATGTGCTGATGAATCTTGTAGACAAATATGGATCAACTTTATCATGTCAAAAGTGTAACTTGGTATACAGACAAATTATTCTTTTACTCTGTGTTATCAACTAAGTATTCTACCTGGCCAAGAGTTCTATTCTTCTGTCCAACCAAGTATATTTTTTCTTCTGTTTAACCACGTATTCTATTCATCTGTCTGACCAAGTATTCTATTATCTTGTCTGACCAAGTAATTTTTTCTTTTGTCTGACAAAGTAATTTTTTCTTTAGTCCAACCAAATCTTCTGTTCATCTGTTTGATTAAGTCTTCTATTCTTTCGCCTGACTAAGTATTCTATTCTTTCGTCTTACCAAATATTCTATTCTTTCGTCTGACCGATATATTCTATTCTTTCGTCTGATCAAATATTCTATTCTTTTGTCTGACCAAATATTCTATTCTTTTGTCTGACCAAATATTCTATTTTTTCATCTGACCAAATATTCTATTCTTTCGTCTGACCAAATATTCTATTCTTTCGTCTGACCAAATATTCTAAGTTTAACATTCTGATTTATATTGAGTATCATACAGTCAAGCTTGTCTAAAATGATTGCCCAGGGAACCTGATCACTATAGACAACAGGTCGTCATAGACAGGTGTGATTTAGTCGTCATACTTTAATAACACTGATCAAAACACATATAGTATATCATGTTTATGTTAATTAACATCAAGTCAATGGCATTTATGAAGCAATAAATGTATTGTGTATGTCATTGTAAAATGAAATAAAAAAACAGATAAATTATTTCACATAAGTATTATAGAATGATTTTGTACCAAAATAAAAAAATGATAAAAATAATTTGTCCTGACTATGGAGCTAACTAATGTGAATCTTTTGAATTGTCGTTACCTATCAATTTTGGGACCTGAATGAGTGGTTGTGTTGTATAGGTGGTCATTAGATAAAATGTCATTTCATAGAAAAAAATGCTTGAGACCTTTTTAAATGGGGTTATTATAGACAGGGGGTTACGATACAAAAGTGGTTGGTAGATGAAAGGTTTCACTGTATTCTTCTGCTTTGTAAATTTACACTACACTAATTAGATAGACTACGTGGTCAATGTTGACAAACTTGTGACCATAAATTTCTGAGGACTGACCTTGCCAAAACGTGAAGTTTTTCGATTCACAGTAACAGGCAGAGATAGGAGGATGATGGCTGACCTGAAAAAAACAAAAAACCCAAATGTATATTGTTCTATATACTATCAACAACAGAGATAAAAAACAAATATATATTTATCTATTTATTGGTTCTGATAATGAAACATGTAAACCAATTCCGACACATGTTGTCTGGTCATCTCTACTGTTAAGTTTGATTATTGTTCTGGAACTGGACTCTGTATTTCATTAGGAAACCATCTCTAAAAGACTACCAACACTTTTAGAAGATTTCCTGCCAGACCTTGAATCTCGTTTTCTTTCTAATGTATAACATTCTTGAATATATGTATCTTTGTCTGTGAATACAAATGTAACTAAATGTGTGGTAACCATTTTTATCATATATTTTGACAAGTCCGTATGAGGTGAAATTTTGTTTCTTAAGTCCAACTCACATCTTCTATTCAATCTTCTAGAACTTTCAAAGACTGCAGATTTATTTATTTTTTATTTCAAAAATATCTGAAGGTGTTGTTTGGAGTATTTCATGGGTCAGAACAGCTCATACTAATGCAAGGGTTATTTTAAAGTCTGCTTTTAAAAATTCTTTCATTTACTTTCTCGAACATGTCTCACAGTCTGTAGAATCACCAATCACTTTTTGTTAATATCACTTAAATCAATTAGTCATTTTTAATCAACAGAATTTATTTTCCATTATTAGCTTCACCTGTTCTGCAATAAACTTCCAGCCCTTGTCCTCGCGGATACATTCATAAGTTTCTCCGAGAAGTGGGTTAAATGGCTTGTGGCCGGCACGGTATCCAGAACTAGCATAACTACTCACAGTGAACGCTGCAATGTACAACTGCAAGAGAAAGGGAGATAATCAAAAGCTACAGAAATAAAGAAATTAAATCATACTATTTTAAACTCAGGAGATATAAACATGCTACGTTCACTGTTTATGTTTAGTATTATGAAATAATGACATTTCTGCCATTCAACCGTCACACAATACCGCATAAAAAGAACAACATCATTAACACCAGTAAGAACAAGGACTTTTACATATACATGTCTTCAGTTCAGCTTATCTCATCATTTTATCTAGGTTTTATTTTTTCCCCATCCCATCACTATTTCTCAAACCTTTCATTCCTTCAAGATATCTCTATAACTCTCCACCCGGTCATTCCTTCATTTTTGCATCCTACCCCCATCTCTACCTATTTATTCCTTCATCAATACTGCAATCCTTCATTTTTCATTCCTTCATCATTTTCATTTCCTTTATTCCATCACCCTAACCCTGAATCTTCATTTCACCATTTCACCAGTCACATGACAGCAATTGGTTACCATGTGTTTGTAACAAAACCAGTCACATGACAGCTATTGGTTACCATGTGTTTGTAACAAAACCAGTCACATGACAGGTATTGGTTACCATGGGTTTGTAACAAAACCAGTTACATGACAGCTATTGGTTACCATGTGTTTGTAACAAAACCAGTCACATGACAGCTATTGGTTACCATGGGTTTGTAACAAAACCAGTCACATGACAGGTATTACTTACCATGGGTTTGAAACAAAACCAGTCACATGACAGGTATTGGTTACCATGGGTTTGTAACAAAACCAGTCACATGACAGGTATTGGTTACCATGGGTTTGTAACAAAACCAGTCACATGACAGGTATTACTTACCATGGGTTTGTAACAAAACCAGTCACATGACAGCTATTGGTTAACATGGGTTTGAAACACAACCAGCTACATGACAGGTATTGGTTACCATGGGTTTGAAACACAACCAGTCACATGACAGGTATTGGTTACCATGGGTTTGTAACAAAACCAGTTACATGACAGCTATTGGTTACCATGTGTTTGCAACAAAACCAGTCACATGACAGGTATTGGTTACCATGGGTTTGAAACACAACCAGCTACATGACAGGTATTGGTTACCATGGGTTTGTAACAAAACCAGTCACATGACAGGTATTGGTTACCATGGGTTTGTAACAAAACCAGTCACATGACAGGTATTGGTTACCATGGGTTTGAAACAAAACCAGTCACATGACAGGTATTGGTTACCATGGGTTTGAAACAAAACCAGTCACATGACAGGTATTGGTTACCATGGGTTTGAAACACAACCAGTCACATGACAGGTATTGGTTACCATGGGTTTGAAACACAACCAGTCACATGACAGGTATTGGTTACCATGAGTTTGTAACAAAACCAGTCACATGACAGGTATTGGTTATCATGGGTTTGTAACAAAACCAGTCACATGACAGGTATTGGTTACCATGGGTTTGTAACAAAACCAGTCACATGACAGGTATTGGTTACCATGGGTTTGTAACAAAACCAGTCACATGACAGGTATTACTTACCATGGGTTTGTAACAAAACCAGTCACATGACAGCTATTGGTTACCATGGGTTTGCAACAAAACCAGTCACATGACAGGTGTTACTTACCATGCGTTCATAAGGGTCATCAATTTCCACTGCTTTGTCTACCAGTTCAGAGTACTCCATCTCCTCACAAAGTCTCTGAAAAATTAATAACAATATCATTTCAACACTTTAAAATAACCTTACGAAGGTTAAGGAAGGGAAATGAAACACTAAACAAGACCTTGTTAAGGCTTTCAATAATATCTCCTGTTGGAGAGAAGGGAACAGGTAGTCATAATGGACAATGAAAATGGACAGCAGAAAGTGATAGTTTTATAAGAAACATTCGAATCCAGTCTGGATGATAGAGAATGAAGCTAGTGTGGATGTTTCACTACCAGTTTGTAAAAAATCTGGGATACAGAGAGAAATATTTTACCAAATACATAGCAATTAGATATGTTGATAGTTGTGAACATTTTATCTAGAGTACACCTGGTGATTAATTAACATGAAATTTTTACCTGAAGCATACATATATTGAGTAAATAACTTATTTATAAAACTTTTACTTAAAGTCCACTTATCATGAGTAACAAATTAATTGAAAAATTTTACCTGAAACATACTGTTTGACTAATTAATTTTACCAGAAATATTGAAGGCCTATTAACTAAATCAATTTGACATTTATACCTGGAGCATACTAAGCGGCTCATTAAGGGTAACTGGCATAGAGATTTTGGTGAGATCCTTTCCCAGATTTTTGTACAGAAGATTCCACAGACTCACATCTCCTGTGTCCGGTTTTGGGACGGGAAGTTTGGATCGATGGCCGGTTTGAAATGTCTCGGATAATTGGTCTTCTGACACTGAAATGACAAGCAGTCTGATGATCCAGTTACCACCAAAAACAAGCTGTATAAACGCTTAAGCTGTAACAGCTTAAAAAAACCATTAACTAAATCAAGCCAAATTAAACAGAATTCGTTGACAACAAATGTATATTTTTGAAAATATCTTCTCAAAGTTATTCCGGGATGAAATATGTGAACTTTTATTTCTAAGAATATAGAGGCATTCATGAAGTTACTGTACATTTTCATCACTTTATTACATAATCCTTACCACTTATGGCAGCATTGTAATCTGTGTCATTTTCTTCTGATATTTCACTAGATATCTCCTCATCATCAGATGGCTGTAAACACAAATCAGACATCGTCATGTACTCATTTTGATAAAGAACAAGGCTGTTTATCTTTTGACTACTTGGACCAAGGTTTATAAAATAAGGACAAAATTTCTTATCATATTTTACTTCCTGATGAGCCTTAGCATATACTTCTGGGATCTGTGCTAATATTTCTGGTCTATCTTGGTTTATTCCTGATATCTTACATTAATAGTGCTGCTCAACCACCATAAATGAACAGACTCCATCTGTCTACTTAAAGGGGGTAAGAGATCAGCTATTTCAGGTGGCCTGAGCAAACCAAGCCATCCTTTATATGACAATATTGAAATATCAGAGCAATTAATACCTATAACTGAAAGACAGTAACTCTCCCAACACATTTAGTAACAGGTGCTGGATGCTTAATGGGTCATGTGACTAATTTCAGCCAATCAGACCAAGTGGGTCATGTGACTAATTTCAGCCAATCAGACCCAATTACACTAAGGCTAGATGTAGAAGATACAAACCTCTGAAGATGATTCACTGCCACTCTCTTTGTATTCCTCGGCATCATAGTACTCAGACATGGAGCAGCTCTCGGCAGACAATGACTGAGACAAACCGTGAGATCTTGGCTCCTGTAATTACCAATATGTATAAAATATCTTTCTGGAAATATCTTAGTGCCAAGAAAAAACTTATAAAACAGGCTCATAGCTTTCAGTTCTTTAAGATTCAGAGGCTGAAGTTGTATAGTCTTGTTTCCGTTTCCTAGAAAAAGTTGATTGACAGCTGTCCAGAGACATTTAACTGATAACAGGTGTCCTACTAAATAATACGCTTACAGTTACAACGTGACAGATGAACTAAAATATCCTTTTCAAGTTTAATCAGGTGAGAAAAGAATCTTAAAATCTGCACGTCACACAGAGAAATGATCTGTTCCAAAATAAATCCAGTAAAATCTGTTAGGTCAAAGATCCTCAGGTCCTATACATCAAATCTGTCAGAGAGTGTTACTTAATCCAGTGGTGACAGGAGATTTCTGGGAGAGTGTTACTTACTCCAGTGGTGACAGGAGATTTCTGGGAGAGTGTTACTTACTTACTCCATTTAGTGGTGACAGGAGATTTCTGGGAGGGTGTTACTTACTCCAGTGGTGACAGGAGATTTCTGGGAGAGTGTTACTTACTCCATCCAGTGGTGACAGGAGATTTCTGGGAGAGTGTTACTTACTCCATCCAGTGGTGACAGGAGATTTCTGGGAGAGTGTTACTTACTCACTCCAGTGGTGACAGGAGATTTTTGGGAGAGTGTTACTTACTCACTCCAGTGGTGACAGGAGATTTTTGGGAGAGTGTTACTTACTCACTCCAGTGGTGACAGGAGATTTTTGGGAGAGTGTTACTTACTCACTCCAGTGGTGACAGGAGATTTTTGGGAGAGTGTTACTTACTCATTCCAGTGGTGACAGGAGATTTTTGGGAGAGTGTTACTTACTCCATTCAGTGGTGACAGGAGATTTTTGGGAGAGTGTTACTTACTCACTCCAGTGGTGACAGGAGATTTTTGGGAGAGTGTTACTTACTCACTCCAGTGGTGACAGGAGATTTTTGGGAGAGTGTTACTTACTCCATTCAGTGGTGACAGGAGATTTTTGGGAGAGTGTTACTTACTCCATCCAGTGGTGACAGGAGATTTCTGGGAGAGTGTTACTTACTCCAGTGGTGACAGGAGATTTCTGGGAGAGTGTTACTCCATTCAGTGGTGACAGGAGATTTCTGGGAGAGTGTTACTTACTCACTCCAGTGGTGACAGGAGATTTTTGGGAGAGTGTTACTTACTCCATTCAGTGGTGACAGGAGATTTTTGGGAGAGTGTTACTTACTCAATTCAGTGGTGACAGGAGATTTCACTCCAGTGGTGACAGGAGATTTTGTGAGTGTGTTACTTACTCAATCCAGTGGTGACAGGAGATTTCTGGGAGAGTGTTACTTACTCCATTCAGTGGTGACAGGAGATTTTTGGGAGGGTGTTACTTACTCCATTCAGTGGTGACAGGAGATTTCTGGGAGAGTGTTACTTAGTCCATTCAGTGGTGACAGGAGATTTTTGGGAGAGTGTTACTTACTCACTCCAGTGGTGACAGGAGATTTTTGGGAGAGTGTTACTTACTCCATTCAGTGGTGACAGGAGATTTCTGGGAGAGTGTTACTTACTCCATTCAGTGGTGACAGGAGATTTTTGTGAGGGTGTTACTTACTCCATTCAGTGGTGACAGGAGATTTTTGGGAGAGTGTTACTTACTCCATCCAGTGGTGACAGGAGATTTTTGGGAGAGTGTTACTTACTCCATTCAGTGGTGACAGGAGGTTTTTGGGAGAGTGTTACTTACTCACTCCAGTGGTGACAGGAGATTTTTGGGAGAGTGTTAATTACTCATTCCAGATGACAGGAGATTTTTGGGAGAGTGTTACTTAATCACTCCAGTGGTGACAGGAGATTTTTGGGAGAGTGTTACTTACTCATTCCAGATGACAGGAGATTTTTGGGAGAGTGTTACTTAATCACTCCAGTGGTGACAGGAGATTTTTGGGAGAGTGTTACTTACTCATTCCAGATGACAGGAGATTTTTGGGAGAGTGTTACAGGAGATTTTTGGGAATCACTCCAGTGGTGACAGGAGATTTTTGGGAGAGTGTTACTTAATCACTCCAGTGGTGACAGGAGATTTTTGGGAGAGTGTTACTTAATCACTCCAGTGGTGACAGGAGATTTTTGGGAGAGTGTTACTTACTCGTTCAAGTGGTGACAAAAGTGGAGATGCTGGAGTGGTTGTTGTTTTTGTCTCATCTAAAGATGACTCAATATTAATCCTGGTCATACGAGCTTTTAACTCTGCTATTGTACGGTGAGCCTGGAAATAGAAAATAGAGTTATCTCCCTTCCTCTAGTCTATTCCCCTCTCACTACTCATTGATCAATACTATTACATGAGCAAATTTCCACAGAGTATATATAACAAATCATTTTACAAGGTTTTTGTTTTTTATCCTTTTTAAGTCTGATACAAGACAATAGTGAAGATCACCTCTATGAGATTTTGCCTCAGAAGCAGGGAATTAGCCGAGCCAGCAGTCATCATGCCATTATCTAGGTCTATTGCACTCTTAAGTCGGTCTCTCTCCGTCCCCATCATATGGAACAGCGACATCAGAGAGGAATATACTGAAACAAATGTATCACAAAAACATCATGGCGAGTTTGTTCTGTTGTAAATTGTTGGATTATTAAATCAAATACAGCTAGAGACTCCAACAGATATACCATCCATCCCCAACCTTGTAAATCTTTTACTTGCAAAGTGGTCAGGGCTGACCTTTGATCTTAAAACTTGACCAATAATCACTTAATCTAATCAGGTGTAGGTTGTGGTGTCATGGTCAAGGCTGACCTTTGACCTTAAACCATAATCAATGATCACTAAATCTAATCTGGTGTAGGCCGTGGTGTTATGGTCAAGGCTGACCTTTGACCTTAAGCCATAACCAATGATCACTAAATCTAATCAGGTGTAGGTTGTGGTGTTATGGTCAAGGCTGACCTTTGATCTTTAACTTAACCAATGATCACAAAATCTAATCAGGTGTGGGTTGTGGTGTTATGGTCAAGGCTGACCTTTGACCTTAAACCATAACCAATGATCACCAAATCTAATCTGGTGTAGGCCGTGGTGTTATGGTCAAGGCTGACCTTTGACCTTAAACCATAACCAATGATCACCAAATCTAATCTGGTGTAGGCCGTGGTGTTATGGTCAAGGCTGACCTTTGACCTTAAACCATAACCAATGATCACTAAATCTAATCTGGTGTAGGCAGTGGTGTTATGGTCAAGGCTGACCTTTGACCTTAAACTGATGTATACTTCTATACAGTTTGATGTAATTCATTTAACAACACAATCCTCACCAGTATCTGACTTCATCACAAAATCTTCCCGCAGTTTCAGTTCCTTAATGCGTTGTTCGTGATTTGACACTGTTTGGTAGTCGGGGACACTGCGAGGTCGTGACTTTTCCAGCTCATATTGCATAAGATTAGGATTAGAACAACTAGTTCTGATATTATCAGCATTGATCTGGAGGTTGTTACTGACCTGTAACAAAAAAAAAACCATGTATGGTACATCCTAGTATTTACATCTTCCGATTAATTTCCAGCGATATCAATGTTCGTGTATGAAATAAGCAGTAATTTTTTTATAGAATACACAATTACCAGAAAGTTTAAAGTACGAAACTCTAACACAAACCAGATTGGCTTTCCAGTGTGGAGTGTGAAACATGGCAGGTTTTCGCAATTAATTTCCGTTTAACATGTCAAGATATCAACCACGTATATAACATTAGTAAGAAATACTTCAGAGTCTGAAGTAAAATAAACATCAAATAGATAGCTCTATGATAAGGTGGGTGACCTTCAGACCTGGTCAAATAGCTCTATGATAAGGTGGGTGACCTTCAGACCAGGTCAAATAGCTCTATGGTAAGGTGGGTGACCTTCAGACCTGGTCAAATAGCTCTATGATAAGGTGGGTGACCTTCAGACCTGGTCAAATAGCTCTATGTTAAGGTGAGTGACCTTCAGACCTGGTCAAATAGCTCTATGGTAAGGTGAGTGACCTTCAGACCTGGTCAAATAGCTCTATGATAAGGTGGGTGACCTTCAGACCTGGTCAAATAGCTCTATGATAAGGTGGGTGACCTTCAGACCTGGTCAAATAGCTCTATGATAAGGTAGGTGACCTTCAGACCAGGTCAAATAACTCTATGATTAGGTAGGTGACCTTCAGACCAGGTCAAATAACTCTATGATAAGGTAGGTGACCTTCAGACCAGGTCAAATAACTCTATGATTAGGTAGGTGACCTTCAGACCAGTTCTACTGATTGAAAATCAATCTAAATTACTTTCATTTTTTGTAATTGTACCAGCTTCTGTTTTTAGGGTGAGTAATATGACTATCTTACAAGGAATGTCGTGTTGTGTAGCAGATTGTTGTTACTTTACCTCGTTGTTATCATGGTGGTTGTTACAAGCTTCTATTTTCTTATCCTTTTTTCTACTTGTTCGGAGAGCTAAACCTTTCAGCTTTTTTCTGGCGTCTGGGGATTCTAATTCCGCAACCTGTAGATAAATGTAAAGATACTGTTACCAATCCAGCGACAAATTAACTGATGTTTCAAAACCCTAAAAAATGTTAACACCCATAAGATATGTTTCAGGGTCTAAATACCACTGGGAATTTTTTCCAATGCAATTTAAATGTTTAAGTAGATACACTGCCTATTTCAAATTTATCTCAATGGAACATTTCCATCTTTAAACACAGACAATAAATTTTATCACCAGCAAAACAATAAGTAGAAATATGAAGATAAACTGTCTAAAACACTGAGTGAGCTTCCATCTTGTCTATGATGTTAGCCCTGCGTAAGTCTGTGATGTTGGATCAAAATCCTTTAAGATGTGAAGCTTCTAGAGCACTGACAGACTTTTCCTAAAAATAGTAACAGTGACCTTGACCCAACAACACTGAAATTCAAAGTAATCTGAGGTATAATAATTTGTTGTGTGTGAAGTTTGAGTAAAATCCCTCAAAGAATAGAACTACTGAAATATAGACAAAAATAAAAGTTACATCATAATGTAATTATAAGGGAGCTTTCTTATATTACCTCCCCGAGGGCTTAATCCTAAACACATAATCAGACCAGGTGTAGACTATGAAAAATGTCTTATTTAATTTGTTCCAGGTGTAGGCCATGTCTGTGTTAAATATAAATGTTACCTCTAACACAGTATTGGAATCCATTGATAATGGCAGGTTTTTTATTTGTTCCAGGTCCTCTCTCAAGTCATTCAGGAGCTTCCTGGTGTCATGTAACTCTGTAAATAAATTTATCGTATGATCAGGTTACAAACAAAATCAAGTAGAAATGAAAATGCATGTTATTGCAAAACCATGAAATTTGAGTCTCTCCAACATATATGGTTGTACAGTATCTGAAGATTTATTAGTCCACAAAATTTGAGATGAGTTTGTATATATTTGACATTATCTCATTAAATGTTAGTTTTCATTCTGTTTAGAAGTCAGAATATAGGTCACAGTGACCTCCTAATATTTAGAAACAATTCAGAGAAATTGTGTACCTTTATTACAATGCTCAAAGCCTGCTGTGTCTAGAAGCCATGTAGCAACACGACTTTGTGATGATTCTCGTCCCTTAAAACTAGACTGGCGGATAACCTCAGAACTTAGTTTTTGTTCACGAGCTTTTCCTGGGAAATTTAAAGCTGCAAAAAGAAAATTGATAGGATACATAAAAGTTCCTTAAACTATCTAATCAATAAAAACAAAGCAAAATGGAAACTTTGGAAAATCAAGGATTTTAAACTTTCATGACTTTCAATTTAAATAGGAAGATATATATGTTCTTTTACACACAAATTTTGAAAAAACCACACAATAGTGAGACATTATAGAAGTTAACCCTATCTTTGTTAGTCACTTTGATGTTCTTGTAGCTGTCTATTTCTTATTGTATATATACATCTACTTTAAATCACTTCAATTTTGTGAATACTTTATTTTGTGAACTTACCTCTTCAGAAATATTCGCGAATACATGATTTCATGCATGGCATTATAGAAATGACATTAAATTTGCAAATGACTGCCTATTAGATATATTGGCTCTGATATTGGTAACCAAGTCCTCATGGATGTCACAAAAAAATCATCAAGAATTATTTTCATATAATTGTGTAGGATCTGAATACATGATTGTCCTGTGTATTAATATGAAAATGAATCCTACGCAAACTATTAAAATTGACGGTATCCTGTAGTAACTTCACACCTGATAATACACCCATGTCCATAAAGCTTACAAACACTTCTTGTCCCAAAATAAGCCCATTTCTTTTCTGAGCCAAAGTTAGCCTACTGGGCTTATTACAGGATATTAGAAGAAAAAATTTTTCCAGATATTTGACTTACATGCAGTAAGGGGAGGCAACTCTTCGGTAGGAGAAGTAATTTCTGTTAGCCTTGGAGAGTCCTTGGTTCCGTAAGCTAATTCATGTTGACGGTATAACCTGTGATGTTTCAATCGCTTCAGCCATTCATCAAATAAACGATTATCTTTAACCTAAAGCATGAAACAAGCACACAAATCACTCATTAATGTCATCAGGAGTACAAGTTTAAAGGAATATTCCTCATGGTTAGGAATTCATGTGATACTTGATCAGGAGTACCAGTTTAAAGAAATATTCTACATAGGAATTCATGTGATACTTGATCAGGAGTACCAGTTTAAAGAAATATTCTACATAGGAATTCATGTGATACTTTAAAAAAAACTGTACAAAATCACAAACTTGTTCTCATAGAAATTGTACACCTCAATATAGCATTTAAACAAACAAATTCTTCATAAATATAGCTAGCTTAGATCAACACGCCCTTATTGCATCATAACAGGTTTCCATCACCATATCAAAACAGGTTTGCATTGCCATATCATTACAGGTTTGTGTTGACATATCATTACAGGTTTGCGTTGACATATCATTACAGGTTTGCGTTGACATATCATTACAGGTTTGTGTTGACATATCATTACAGGTTTGTGTTGACATATCATTACAGGTTTGCGTTGACATATCATTACAGGTTTGCGTTGACATATCATTACAGGTTTGCGTTGACATATCATTACAGGTTTGCGTTGACATATCATTACAGGTTTGCGTTGACATATCATTACAGGTTTGCATTGCCATATCATTACAGGTTTGCGTTGACATAAGGTAAACAGAATGAAATAATTGTGTGAATTATAAAATCAACAGAAAAATGGCCTCTACGGTATAACATTGTAACAGAATATTAAGTGAATGGCATTCACAGTTGTATACCCTATAAACACTATGATACTTGAATGGCCTTTCTGTTCTGGATTTCACAATGTACTAGATTTAGACTGTTTGGCTAAGAGCATTCCCACTAATTTTGCCTGTCCAAACCGACTACAGGAGAGATATTTTGACATTTATATTAGTTCATCAAGTCACCAGATTGAGTTTTTAAGAGATAAATCACAGCCAGAAGTTTTACAAATTGGCAGAACATCCCCTTAAAGCAATCAAGATTTCATGATAAACAAATAGCTACGTATATTTCAAAATTTTAACATCAATTTTTTATATAAACTTTTTTGTTTATATTTCAAATGAATCTTAATAACCTCAGAATAAACAAGGAGAAATTATCATTTAACGTTTCATATGCCATAAAAACAATACTTACAGAAAATGTATCTTTCTTAAATCAATTAATGGATATCTGAGGATATCTAGTTTAAAGATATGTGATTTTCAATCTAACTTTAATAGTGTTGATGAATGTTCTTCCCTTTCAATAAAAAGACCAAGAATACATGACACATACTTTTTCTTTTCAGACGAGTTTCACTGTCAGAATAACAATTTAATTTTTTTTTTTATTAATTTACAATTTTAAACAAGCAGTTCCTTGTCTTTCCACTATGCCAATCCATATGCTCTATACAAATTTTAATATTTGTAGGTGATGTGAAGCATAACTTTAAGACAGTTATACAATATTTTGAAATGACATGATATGTAGAAACAAGAGATCCCAACCAAAGTTGGAAACCTGTCTGCTTTTTTGTTTTTTTTTGTGATCAGTCCGGAAATCAAATGAACACAACTGAGGACCAAGAAGAACCTTCAGATAAAATTTGAGAAAGGTTCACAAAGCACCTCTCGAAAAACAGCAACGGCAAGAATTATTAATGACAAATCACAGACGAAGATAAACTTAAATACCGCAACATCACCATATGGAGGGTTGGCTATTCAAATTGTCCTTCAATCATGTGGAATTATTTTCAATTATATTTCAAAGGGAGATAACTGTAACCCCAGAAATAAGCAGTGAGATAACTCTACTTTACAGATATAGAAGTATACAAAGAAGAATTCATTTTCAACTGACCTAGAACTGTCAACATCACAATGAATTACAGATAAACTTTATTTAGGGTACAATCATCCTGTGGTTTCATTACCATCTTAAAAACTTTTTGTTTTTGCCTGGTGTTTATTTTACTCTAAAACACCATAAAACACCTGTTTTATCTCATTGTAAAACGGGCAAAATGGGCAAATGCTAAAGTGTCCTCATATACTATAGATATACACATCATCTAAAACTGTCCTGGAACCTGTCAGTTTTGGCTTACCTTTATATGGTACACAATATCCTCAGCATCAATGTATATCCTATGTTGGTGTTTTTTGAACGCCACTACAGAAAGGCCGACATCTATCACACCATGGTATTTACACTTCTGCATCTGTAACAGAAACAAAAATACATTTAGAATTCTGAAATATTAAAATCATCTCCGTATCTTTTATTATTGTAGATAAAGAATACTTAAATATTGATATAATTTTGTGTTATATCAAGTTAAAATGTGACTCTCTTTATTTCTCCTAGTCAAGTACCATAAACAGGGCGTTTTTATTATTTTATTTTTTCCATAAGAATTCATAGCAAATATAAAACTAGCCAATCTTAATAGAGCGAGGGTTACGCAATATAATTTCAATTTCATTGACTAAAATAAAACTAATCAAGATCTGAAACGAAGTGGAAACATTTGAGCATGGCGTATTAACCCCTTTATAGGGAACATATTAAGATTTGATTTAGATTGAGTAGATTGAGAGACAGTATTAGAATCAAACAAACTTTATTAAGAGGTTGATTTTTTTTATTCCACAAATAGTTTATTTCTTGTGTTAAAGTTGTGTCAGGAGATCAATAAGGATGTTGTAGACTGGCTAGGAATTATCTCTAAGGCTGGGCAAGTCTCAATCAAATTCAACAAAACAGATTCTTTACCTAAAATTACTGATAATGGACAAGTTTTTCGTCATTCAATCTTATTTAATAATGATAATCAAGCAATTTCAGTTAATGAAAGTCATTAAGGAGAAAATAAAATTTAAAGAAGTTTAAATAAATTAATTTTCAGTTGCGCCTCATCTTATGATCTTAGATGTGGGAGGCATGTTATCGTACATGCGTGATTGTCATATTAATTAGTGAATATCATACCATGAAGATATAAATTAAAAGAGAAAAGTTAACAGAAACAGATTATTTCTTATTGACAAAATTTAGATCAAAAGCAAAAACTGTGTCTCAAAAAACTACCATGGTAAATATTGTGACTCAAACAACTGGTAAAACCTGTGTTTCAAAACATCAGCAAAACCTAGGACTCAAATGAACTAGAAAATCCTGTTTCTTAGTTAGCTAGAAAAATCTGTGATTTAAAACAACAAGAAAATTCTGTGCCTCAAATATTTATGTAAGTGAATGATTCAGATCACTAGTAAAACTTGTAGATGAAATAGCTAGAAAAGCTGTGGTTCAAAACAACCAGAAAAATCTAAACAAAATCAATTCCTTGTATATCATTATGAAATCCATCACAAGAGCATCAGTAAAACTGATCAATGTTCTCCAATAACAACTTAATTTAACATAGAATTTAAAAAAAGGGCAATAACTCTTAAATTAAGGGGTTTCAGGTCCTGAATTTTGGTATAAAGCGCATTCTCTTTGTATAACCGAGATATACACCCAGGTTTCATTATCCTAGTCCAAATGAAAGCAAAGTTATGCTCTGAACATCAAATGTTGATGAAGGGCAATAACTCTGTAATTTAGGAGTTGAAGGAACAAAAGGATGAAAGAACAGTTGAACAGACAAAACAACTACTATATGCTCTGTTCGATAACTTTCTGGAGCATAAAAATCTGAGGAAGAGCAACTGGATAAAGTTTTTTTTTTGTTTCAACGATACTCCAGAGAAAGAATTATTCAAAATGTCTCAGCCAATCAGGGAACTGATATATACTGTAAATCACTTAGATTTCGTGAATACTTTATTTCATGAATTTACATCTTCAGACCTATTCATGAATACATGATTTCGTTAATACTAATCTATTAATGACAAGCTGTTAGAGGTATGGACTCTTCAGGATTCAGATACCTGTAACCAACTCATCATGGATGCCATCGAGAGTTATTTTTGGGAAAAACAATCAAATAGATCCAAATTTGTGGCCGATTCTCTTTGTGCATTAATGCAGTATGATAATATTATCATGAAAACATAGGCTATATACTGACCAGCTAAGAATGATGGGGGAAAGTTTGATACAGAAATAGAAATTCTATACCATTTATCATGTAAAATAAATTCCACTTCAGTTCAATGATGTTTTAATGATAAAAGAGTGGGAGATGTAGTCCACAACAAGCTGGAATGGTAGTTTCAAAATTTATTGAGGATTTCTGGCCTACATGTTTCGCCTGTGACGGCTTCTATGGGAATTTTGAAACTACCATTCCAGCTTGTTGTGGACTACCTCTCCCACTCTACTACTACTTCTGTATTTGGGTAGGACACCCATCATACCGTTAGGTATCCAAGCTGGGGATGAATGGACACTAAACCAATTAGAACTTTACCGGCTCTCTCTTTACCTTACATATCAATGATAAATGTAATACAATGTATAAAAAATCAACTAAACAGAAAACATCAGAACGAACACTTCATTACTTAAATATAACTACAAAACACTATCCCAAATAAAATTCAACAGTTAGATTAAATGTGGTTCCTTAAACCTGAACAGGTATACCTTCACACAGAATAGCTGTATATTCTAAACCTTAACAGGTATACCTTCACACAGAATAGCTGTATATTCTAAACATTAACAGGTATACCATCACAAAGAATAGCTGTATATTCTAAACATTAACAGGTATACCTTCACACAGAATAGCTGTATATTCTAAACCTTATCAGGTATACCTTCACACAGAATAGCTGTATATTCTAAACATTAACAGGTATACCTTCACACAGAATAGCTGTATATTCTAAACCTTAACAGGTATACCTTCACACAGAATAGCTGTATATTCTAAACATTAACAGGTATACCTTCACACAGAATAGCTGTATATTCTAAACCTTATCAGGTATACCTTCACACAGAATAGCTGTATATTCTAAACATTAACAGGTATACCTTCACACAGAATAGCTGTATATTCTAAACCTTAACAGGTATACCTTCACACAGAATAGCTGTATATTCTAAACCTTAACAGGTATACCTTCACACAGAATAGCTGTATATTCTAAACCTTAACAGGTATACCATCACACAGAATAGCTGTATATTCTAAACCTTATCAGGTATACCTTCACACAGAATAGCTGTATATTCTAAACATTAACAGGTATACCATCACAAAGAATAGCTGTATATTCTAAACATTAACAGGTATACCATCACACAGAATAGCTGTATATTCTAAACATTAGCAGGTATACCATCACACAGAATAGCTGTATATTCTAAACATTAACAGGTATACCTTCACAAAGAATAGCTGTATATTCTAAACATTAACAGGTATACCTTCACACAGAATAGCTGTATATTCTAAACATTAACAGGTATACCATCACAAAGAATAGCTGTATATTCTAAACATTAACAGGTATACCTTCACACAGAATAGCTGTATATTCTAAACCTTATCAGGTATACCTTCACACAGAATAGCTGTATATTCTAAACATTAACAGGTATACCTTCACACAGAATAGCTGTATATTCTAAACCTTATCAGGTATACCTTCACACAGAATAGCTGTATATTCTAAACCTTATCAGGTATACCTTCACACAGAATAGCTGTATATTCTAAACCTTATCAGGTATACCTTCACACAGAATAGCTGTATATTCTATGTCCTACAGAATTAAACGTCACGGCATCTCTCTTTAGACTATTTAATATCAGTTATATCATTACATCTATGATGTTACACAAAAAACTGTTTTAAAGCATACTTTTAAACAATATTCTGTGGCTCTGTTTATCTATCTGCAAATGAGTTATTCAAAAAGTAAACAATCTTGAATGCTCCAGCACTGATTGATAAGGTATAAAACTTTTTATATTAAGCCAAAAAACAATCTTTCACTGCTAAAGATTGTAAACCATATGTTTGTTAGAAATATTTCTCAGTTCAAACTGAGTAAGTGATGTATCAAAAACAAGCATATACATTCTTCTGTAACAAGTCTGGTGGTATAGATGTACACAATGTTAGTACTTTAAAAACCCACAATTACATGTAACCAGAAAACTGCTCAACTTGTTCCAAGTAACGCTGAGTTAACACTTTACTTGAAAACACAACATATAAAGGGTTAGATAAAATTTCTGATTAAATTGCTTTAACGATTATTTCACCGTAACAACATCCTGAAGTTTGCTCTTCTCTATCTGAAAGAGATAAACAATTTTATTGAGGAGATTTGACATGCTAATGAATTTATTCAAGGTAAGAAAAATACGACCAATATTTATAATTCACATTCATATTGTTGAAGAGTTCCATTGGTTGTGGCGCAACAACCATTTTTCAAACCAAGGTGAAGGACAAGACAATATCGTAATTTTATACCAAGGTGAAGGTCAAAATGTCAACATAATCTTAGACCACGGACAGACGTGGCATCATAAATTTAGATCAAGGTGAAGGTCAGTGGATGAAATCTTCATGATATCAAACAAAGATGAAGGTAAGAGAAAAGACATTGGAAGTAAAGACCTGGAAATGGTCGAGCAAAGTCAAGTTGGTGATGGTACAATCCAACGCTAAAGTCATCATCAAGAAGATGGTAGTATCACAACCTAAGGCCAAGGTGAAGGCTGACTAAAACAATAACACCAGAACAGCTGCCAATGCGTCGAGACCATATTCATTTCAAAACATCATTTGAATTGTCTGAACAAAATAAGCATTTGATAATTAAACAGAAAACACTAAATAGACAAAACAGCTAAGAATCAACTGACATATCAAAATGTAACAAAGTCCAAATTCATAGCTTTTCTTATTAATTTTCATTTCTTTTTTTTAGGAACGTGAAGAAAACTGTTGTTCCAGTTGTATAATTCCATTAAGTATCGTATTCATTTGATTATAACCGAGATATCTGTACACACTAGGTACAATAATGAATGATCTGTTGATGGATGATGAACACTACTGTCTACTGTAAAATCACTTTCCAACAAGAGGCCCATGGGCCTGAACAGTCATCTGACATAAAATACAAGATTTCAAATTTGTAACTTAAGAAGTCGAAAATGTGTTTTCAAGATGGCGGCCATGTTGGATTTCGGACCAACTCGAAATTAACAAACTTTGGTCAGGATCATGTCACGATCATTTC